GGTAAAGGTCTCTTCCTTATTGAAAAAAGGGTGTTTGAGAGTCTCTGGGAACCCTGATCACTTGGTTCCTGCGAAAACGAACAGATGGTAGAACTAACTCACTACTGTCTGGCTCTTAATTAGCAGGGAATGAGGGAATGGGTTATTGGGACTACTATAGGGCACCTGAAGGCACTATCATAGGGATCCATTCCCCCATTCCCTACTAAGAACCAGACAGACTATAGCAGGTAGTCATGCCATCCAAAAACTATTGTTGTTTTTGCTTCTGATGTTGCAAGTATACGGGACAGCCCTAAAGTTTGAACTCAACATGTGCTTTGGGCTAAGGCCATTGGGAGCATACTTAGCGACTCAGTTTTCAGCGGTGCTGCTAACATGCGGCACCACGCGCTTCTTGTCAGGGAAGCCAGCTGGACGAAGCAATATATATATATATATATATGTAGATGTACATGTACATGTATATGTATATGTATATGTATATGTATATGTATATATATATATATATATATATATATATTGTTTTCTAGTATGTGATATGTAATTTAGAACACACAGCGTTTATATATAATACATAGCTTATAATATGCAAGATATAATGTGTATAGACAATAGATACATGAACGAACAATTAAATAAATGAACAAATAAACATACATACATATATATATATATACATATACATACATACATACATACATAGACAGAGAGAGAGAGAGAGAGAGAGAGAGAGAGAGAGAGAGAGAGAGAGAGTACGGGAGAGTACGGGAGAGACAGCGAGAGAGGTTTAGACCTGACCCAAGATTTTAGGCTTACCTGGACCCCAAAGGTGTGTTGAAGAATGGCAGTTTCGTAGGGTTTGGGCCATTGTTTACCTACTTCTGGGGGTTTAGGTAGGGCTTCGGCTCACTTTCTGTTGGCCTTCGATCGACACTCGAAATCGTAGTAGTGGGGTTCAGGGTTTAGGCTTTATGGGAATGGTAGTAGTGGGGTTTAGGGGTTATAGGCTTTAGGGAGATCGTAGTAGTGAGGAATGTGCCTTGAAGCTGTTGGTTCTTGTACAATCCTGTACCTTAAACAAACTACTATAAACCACCTTTTGTGCACTTGTTGCAGGGTGTTGTAAAGAGCCCAACTTGGAGGGGTTTTATTGCGGAGCCAGCAGAAATGCGTGTAACTATCCATTCCTACACCCAATAAACCTGACGCTAGACGCACAAAGAGAGTCAGGCCCCCGAAACAGCGAGGCTCCCAAAATCCTGGCATAGGGGGGTAGGACATCCGCTGAATTCCGCGTTGACGGAAGTCTCGGCGGCCAAGGTCTGTGATTCATGACAGGTTTAAGGAATTACGTGTTGGAGGTGCAGAATTTTGGGTTTCGTGGTTTTGGCAAAGTTTCGGATATTATCGGAAAGAGTGAGTTGAGGGGGCCAATGTTTATGTGACAGTCGCGTAACCCATGACTTCTGTCAGAGCAGCATGCTTGCAAAAGGATCACGGCTCACGTGTTCACGTGTGGCTGGCCTTTGCACAAACCGCCGGAAGGGTGGAGCCTGCTCCCCGGCTCCGAAACGAGGGGCCACCAACCAGTGGAACAGAGCCCCGGGCCCAGTACAGAGTCTGACGGGTGAGCAGCATCCACTGTTCCAAGCGATTCCTGAACAGACCGAGGGACGCTCCAGCATACTAAGCCTTTTTCCTACCCCAAACCCCATAAAGCCTTGTTTGCTGCAGCCTGTGTCTTAAGCTGGTGGGGCCAAAACGGTCTTTACTTGCGAAATGGCGAAATAATGGGCTTAGGGAATAATCAGGTGGGTAGGGTTTAGGATCAGGAGTAGACAGCGTTGTAGTGAAAGGAAATGATACCATGGTATCTTGCTTTGCTACGTTTCCTGTCATGGCCAGATCACCAATTGGCCAACTGCCAGCAATCATTTCCAGTAAAATACTACGTCCAGAGCTTGTTGTCATTGCTACAGGCTTCCCTCCGCGTCGCTCCCCGGTGTATCCACCACGGCTAAATTATTGAGCCAATGAGACCCAACCCTAAGCCCTTAAACGCTAAACATAAGCCCTAAACCCTTAAATCATAAACCCTTAAACCATAACCCCTAAACCCTTAAATCATAAACCTTAAGCCCTTAAATCATAAACCCTAAAACCATAAGCCCTAAACCCTTAAATTATAAACCCTAAACCCATAAGCCCTAAACCCTTAAGTCATAAGCCCTAAACCCTTAAACCATAAACCCTAAACCCTTAAATCACAACTTATGATGATGCCAGGCCTGGGACTACATGCATAGGAAGGGACGAGGATGGGATCACCAAAGCTGTGCCATTTGACAGTAAAGTGCACCGAGTCTCAAGCCCTCACGCCGTAATCCTAGAACACAACGATGACAATAAAAAACCCAGACATAGAGCAGTTCTGCTCATGATGGCATCAATCGGTCCATTATAATTAGTGCCGTCTTCAAGTTCAGGCCTTGCTACTGCCCGACAATCACAGAAATACTCATAGAGAGAGATGCACAAGGAGACCCTCACGAGAGTGCATTCTGTACATTTTGTATGCGTCACAGTAACAGAGCACCAAGCTCAAACGAGCCCATTCCTCTTTCCCGTTTTAGTTGGAAGTAGCCGGAAACCAGTTGTCACAGAGTCGGTTGACGAACTGGGCCGGAGCAAGTTGAGACCGAAGTGGTGTGCAGAGCTCCCGAGCTGCGTCTACTTACTATTGATATTGGAGGAGCTAAGGAGCCAGGGATGATGATAATCCCTATTAAATAAGGAGCTAAAGAGCCAAGGGACCCCCCAAAACCACTGGCTCGACTACTGTCTTTGACGTTCACACGTCTACTGCGGCTCTATTTGGGTGCTGCAGGCGGAGCTACTGTTGATGGACAAAATCCTGCATTACTCACTATAAGGAATAATATACCCTAGTTCCCATAGTTTAGAGTCCTTAGGGTCATGCAGGATTTTGTCCATCAACAATATTACGGCCCTCTTTACAGGTTTAGGGTTCCAGCTCGGTGGTGTGGGATTTGCAGGCCTTTTCTCGGATTCGTGCACGCTTCTATGAGGGCTCTAAGACAGTGGCTCCTTACTGCCTGTTGTGGGATTTAGGCTTGCTGGATCAGTGATCGTGAGGACTACGATTGACTACCAGAACCTACTTCTTGTAGGGTCCTTGTAAGTTCTATTATAGGGTATCTAATCATAACCTGCAAAAAATGTAGGCTATGGTATCACACGGCAGGTAATAGAGAGCTGGGAGCAACTAATTAGTGCGAGTCCTAAAGCGATTCGAATCTAGAATATACCGCATTCTGACGATAAACCCTAAACCCTAAACCCCTATCTTATGCTGAGCTATCTTTCACAAGAAGCCCGAAACCCGAGAACAGCTACAACTCATCAATCCTGAGGGCACAGGCGATACACTGTATACCCATGTCGTTCCCATTGCAAACTACTAACTTACTTACAGTACAACCAAATCCCTGTTCGAAAAACCGGGCCCCCTACGCGCTGAATATACATATACATATTATGTGTATATATATATATAGATATATATATATATAGAGAGAGAGAGAGAGAGAGAGAGAGAGAGAGAGAGAGAGAGAGCCGCAGAGGAATCTTCAAGGCTTAAAGGCACCCTCAAAGGGTACCCGGCCTCCAGACCCCGGAAGCCCTCAAGTGGAAGCCCTTTGCAAACCGCACGTGTGCGCCTTGCCCTATAATATAGGGTTTAGGGTTTAGGGTTTAGGGTTTATATAGTCGTAGATACCTTTCTAAAGGAGTTCTGTGCCATGAGTGCTTTGTAAGAATTCTGGCTCGCCGGCTGCGCAGCTTCTCACTAGGAAAAGCTTTCCCTCGTCGGTTGGTTCCTGCGCAGATTTGACTGAACACGAGCGGTCATATGGTTCTGCGTCATGGGTGAAGGCCGCTCGTGCAAGTGAGGATGTTAGCCAGGCATTCACTTGCCCGGTTTTTGCCATTCCCATTTGGTGTTTCTTCTGTTTTTGTGTCCTTGTTGAACTGCTGGCTGTCTCTATTCGGTGTTTTTGTTGAGGGGTGTTCCTGTTTGCCGTTCCTATTTTGTGTTTGTTTTGTTTGGTGTGTTTGTTTGTTGTTGCTGTTTGGTTATTCTTGTAATTTTTCGTGTCCCTGACAGGTGGGTGTTTCGGTTTGGTATGCGGGCAAAGTAAGTGCGCCTGACCGGAATTTCGGTTTGGCACTTCTGCGGATAAGCCTGGCTGCAGTGGCTTTTATAGATCTGTACTCTGTTCCCCCAAGGGTCCATGAACCCAAATAGCATCGACCTTGGCCTGAAGGTAGTCTCCGTACTTTCAGGGCCGAGATATATACTGTACTGTTTGAGCATATGGACCCTGAAGCCCGTGCAGCCCAACTCGAGCCCCAAATCCCGCTTCTCATCACTCAGGCCTTGTCGTGGCTCCCTAACCCAGAGACTCATATCATACTAATATCCCTTAATTAAGGAATATACCTTAAAGTATGGTAGGATCCCTAATATGATTTACAGTATATTCCTTAATTAAGGGTTATTGGAGTCTCTGGGAAGCCAGCAGACGACGTTCACGCGAAGAAGCAGGTCCCTACACAGTAGCCCCCTCTGGAAGCTCCCGGGGGTCCTTGAGTGACTTCAATGCTCCTTGCTTAGAGGGCTGATACAGGGTGAATCAAGCTAACCTAAGACAGCATGGATTGGAGAGGTGCCCTTCATTTGCCCTGAAAACATCATTAAAGGTCGGGCCGAGAGAAAGAAGCTGCACCTGTAAACATCTGTAAACAAGCAAACTACCCTCAATCCCTGAGCCCCGGTAGCGGGAAGTCGGGAAGATCGTAAGACTCTCAACCCTACACCCCCAATAACAAAAACACCCTAACGCTAAACACTACGACCCGGAAGCCCCGACGGCCCCGACGGCCCTGACGGCCCGGAAGCCTGAAGACTTGTGGCCATGGATGCAAGCCTCTCGCTGCCGCTGACTCGCGAAGCGGCAGGGCCCTGAGCAACGAAGACTAGTAAGACGGGTCAGAGGGGTTTAGGGTTTATGCCGGAATAATTCATGCCGGCGTTTAGGGTTTATGCCGGAATAATTCATGCCGGCGCTCAGTTACGGAGCCCCACATGATGTAACTTTACTCGACCCCGCGTTTAGGGTAGCGAGTGCTGGGGTTGCAAATCTTTGCAACCCTAAAACCACTCCCTAAAACCCATGTGTATAGTAACGGTACTTCCTGAGTCTATGGGTTACTACTCTAGCCCCAGAACCCCTGAAGCCCAAAGCCTTAAAATCTTAGATGAACGCTGCCCTAAAACCGTGGGAAGACCCAGCTAAGGCCATCGCGAACAGCCATGACTGGGATGCGGAGTTGCCCGGCTGATGGGATGTGGATCGGCTTGAGCTTTCCGGGGCTTTGGGTTTAGGGCCTTGAGGGCTTTGCGCCTGGGGTGTGGAGGTGATAAGGCAGGAGGCCAGGGGTCCCAAACCCCAACACCCGAAACCCTAAACCCGAACCCAACACCCCTTGCGATGTTTGGGGTCTCTGGAATTGCAAGACGAAAAGTCTTCGCGTAAATCCCACTACCAACCTCGAAGTCAGCTCTGCAAAAACAGGAGGCCTCCTTCCCAGGAGCCGAAGCCGGGGACAGTGAATCAGGAGCTACATATGTCCATCGGGTTCTACAGGAATCCTATCCTAAAGCCCTGAACCTCTTCCACGATGGAATGCCTGCAAGCTCAGGTACAAGCGACGAAACAGGCTCAGCTTCCTGGCTTTAGGGTTAAACCCTACAAAGCCTAGAGGGCTTCTCTGTGTGCGCGTGTGCGTGCCGCTTACTTCGTCTGTAGACGAGTCGGCGCAGCTTTTAGCAGTGTCAGTATCCTCTTCGAGTCTCTATTATATCTTGAAGTGTATGTCCTATCCTGGTACTCTATGATGCTTGTTTGGTGATTGGCTTGGGGCTTCACGGTTTAGGGTCGAGTGGTTTGGGTAAGTCCTGCTGACGTCAATCTAAGTAGGTGTGTCTCGGGGTCTCAAGCAGGTGCCGTCTAAGGTTCCATGACGGTTCTGCAAGAAAGGCGGGCTCCTGGTATCTGTGAGGGAGCCCATATGGTCATGCTCACTGTCTTTTTTGGCAAGTTGGGGAGTTTACTTTTGTGTGTTCAGGAGCCTAGTTTCAGTTACCACAGTACCGAACGCATCGAACAAAAGTCAGTATATGTCCGGTACAAAGTTGGACAAGGCATCTACATGTAGGAGGGGCGGAAGCAGGATCCTCCCTCCACAACACATAACATAGGGCTCGCGTTTGCAGAGTTCCAGCATGTCCGAAACCCAATTCCCCAAACCCGGGCGTACTTGCTTCGATCACCAGCAGGCTATTTCTTCCTGGAAGCAAGATGTACTCGAGCCCATGGCTCAAAGACTGCGGGCAAACCTTAAGCCACGAATTGCAAAAAAACACCAACACGCACACACACCCACACAAGTGCCTTGTGGCGAAGTGCTACACGATTCAGTTCAGGATTCTGTGTACCTTTCGTCCTGAAACGCTAAAACCCTAAACTGGAAACCTCAACCCTCTCCGAACCTGCATCTGCGAAGTTTAGGCAACAGGGTACAGGGTTCCGGGGCTAGGATTCCCGGTTTACGGAAACTGGGTGCGAGGTTTGGCGGTTTGGGAATTTATGTTGGTGTTGTTTTCGTAAACCCAAAACCCTAAACCGCGTTAGATTTGTGTGATTTTGGGGACTGTGGCATGGGAGGTGTCGCAAGATCACCTACGACTTCCTGCACCCGCGTGACTTGATTTTGTCATGGGGTACTTCTCAAAATTGGGGTCCTGTTTGGGCTTCTCGTTTTGGTTGCGCCGTACTATTTCGAAATTCAGAAAAAGGGATTTTAATTTTAAAGAACTACCCTATGAGCTCAGGTTTCTGGTGAGGGGTTTCGGGTTAGGCGTCGAAAGAGAAGCCGAGGTAATTTCGATCATTATTCCTTAGGTCTCCTTCTTATAGCTTTTCTACCCTTAATAAGGACCCCTAGGTATATACCCTTAATCTAGCCATTATATACCCATTATATAGCCCATTATAGGGTAGGGGTCCCCATTAAGATTCCCTCCTTTTCCCCTTTGATTGTAATTATTAGGTCGGGGTGGAGGGTCCGAGCGCATGCGCAGGATGAGCGTTCTTGCTTAGGATGCACAGGTCGGGTGCGGCCGGCGTGGCCGTCGGGGATAAGCCACTAGGACCTAGAGTAGGCCCTTATTCCCTTTTTGGGGGTTCAGGTTCCCTTATGAGCCCCTTTAAACCAAAAAGGGCACCCTTTTTATTCCTAGGCTACTCTTGCGTCTAGGCCATGACCCACAAGCCCGACCGAGACCCGAGCCCCAAAACCCTAAATCCCGAACACATAAACCCCGGGCCCCTATCCTCCAGGACAGCTCAAGCTTTCTCGGTACAAAACACATATGCAATCGTTGAAACCTCAAAAACCCCTTGCTGTTAAACCTTTGTAACCCTCCGAAGCCCAAAAGCCCTACGTGCTCAGGTGACCAAGGTATAGAGAAATACTACTCGCGGATCTTCTACTACTCCTCTCTGGCCCTCCAGTGGCTGCTGGGCTAAAACCTAAACACCTAACCCCTAGACCCAACAGCCGAGCGCACGACACTCAGAAACCTTCCGCCCCAAAACCTTCGGCCCTACACCTTGTCAGGGCTACTTGGGCCGTCGTTGCCCTCACGTTTGTAAGGGTTGCTAAAAGCCAGGGTTTGGGAAGTTATGGTTATAGAGAATTTCTAGAGTTTGGTTTGTTTTTCGGATTTGGGTTTAGGTCCTCTCGTCCCGGGTATTGAGGTTCAGGGTTAAAGGTTTTTTGACGAGAAAAAGATGTAGGGTTTAGGGTATAGGGGTTAGGGCCGGTTAGGGGTTTAGGGGTTTTGGTTTAGGGATTTAGGGTTTGAAGTTTAGGGTTAAGGTTTAGGGTTTAGGGTTGAGGGTTTATGACTTTTCGTGCGCAAGCCCCGTTGAATTGACGTCCCCTGGCAACTTATGTAGCCGGTCTGCCGTGTGTAGACTCGTGTGCTAGTGTTGTTTACGGGATAGACATTGAACACCAAAGCCAGAATTCCGTGGAATTTCTGATCCCAAATCTCATTCAATTCCTAAACGGTATAATTAGATGTTTGCTTTGGTACTTGAAGCTAATTTCCTAAACTGGAATCTCTAAGCCCCCACAAGTCTTCAATTGTAAACCAAAGCGGAGATTCTGCTTAGAGGTGGGCCGGGTGCGCAATGGGTGTTGGTTGGTGGAGATGGCATATTAAATTGATGATGGGACTTAGTTACTCGGATTAGAAAGAAAGGTAGCTACAATGCAAACAGCCCCCCTATGTCTTATATCCTTACTTCGTGAGACCCCTGGTCCTCTAAGTATACGCTCTAATGCAGTTCCTGTGAGCAGGTCGGGTTAAGGACCGAATTGAAGGTTAACAATAAGATGAGAGTTTTGGGACCGACCTACACCCCCAAACCCTAAACTCCTAAACCCTATAACCCCTAAATTCAACCCTAAACCCGAAATTTCAATCTTTAAACCCTTATAGATCCCATTTAAGGAATCCCTAAAACGCCCTTTAAAGAACCCTAAACCCTAAACCCAATGAGGTTGCTGGTCAGCCTTGTCGCGATCAATGTGACCCAGGCGTAGCGCCTTTTTGGTCTCCCTGGAGACTCCCCCCTCAAGTTTGGACCCGGAACTTAAGTAACCCTAAACCCTAAAGCTTGGACCCTGATCTTAAGCAGCTGCGCCGAAGTTTCGAGCCGAAACCGTAGATGGAAGACCATCATCCAGATGCCTCCTACAGGCCTGTCCTTACAAAAATCTTAGGCTCTCTTGGGGATCCTATCGGGAATCCGCAGCCCCCAAGTGAAGGGTCCCTCTTATGAGGTCAGGGTTCGCATGGCACGAAGCAGGCGGCTGTCTTCCTGATCTTGCTCCACTGGGACGTGAAGCTGGATGATGCTAGCCAGGTGGGTTTGGTTTAGGGTTTGGGATTTAGGTTCAGGGTTTTGGGCCTTGGACGTTGCTGCTCGTTCCTAGTTTTAGACTTTCGGCCTTAGACGGTGAGCTTTCAGGTTTTGTGGGAGCAAGTGGCCTGGAGTTTGGGTTTGCCAATTCTACGGTCCTACAGTTTGTTGGCGGAGCTATGCCCTAAGTCCGAAATGTCCAGCGCGGGCCCACTATGGTGGATATATGGAGGGTTCCTACTTGAAGGCATCGAGGGTCTTGGCAAGCATGCAACAGCGCGGCGCTGGATGCGGTTCATACATGCCTTCTTTGGGGTAGCGATTGAATTCTGTTTCGGTTCCGACGCAACCCATTACGCCCTGAGCCCTGTCAGCACTCGCCGTAGCGAAATGTACTTTCCAAGAGAACCGAACCAGGCATCGTTTCGGTCCATTCGTGTATGTATGTATGTATGTATGTATATATATATATATATATATATATATATATTGTGTGTGTACATATATATATATATATATATATATATATATGTGCGCGTGAGTGTGTGCGTATATTTGTATGTATGTGTGTATGTGCGCACATACATACATCGATTAAGTACATTCTATGCCTTGTGTACACACACGGACACGCATCTTGCATGATGTATACAAACACAATCATTTCAAGAGACCCGTGGCACAGCTCTCAAGTTTGCAAATCGCCAAACCTCACATTATCCTTGCTTCTATAAACCCCAAACCCTAAACCCTAAACCAGGCACTGCCTCATTTTTGCCTAAGGGACTAAACTTCCAACAATCAAGATTTAGCACCTCAAAACTCGGTTCTTGTTAAGAAGCTGATTTTAAGTTACCATGGTAGAGTTCTATACTACATAGTACAGTATTGTTTCCTCTGTATTCTGGAATTAAATCCCTTAACAAGAATGCAGAAAGCTTTCAATCCTACACAGTAGGTTTAGCACCTGAAATCAAGAGGGCTCTGATTCAAACAGGTCTCGGTGATTTTGCCATCCTAAAGCCTACCGCTCAAAAGAGTGTGTCAGCCCCAAAAACCTTGAAACATGAGTCCATAAGAAACCCTCAACCCGTGAACCCTAAGCTAGGTAGGCCTTTGGGACATGTATATTTTCCCTTATTGGGCTTAATAGGACCCTATTTACGAATATTTTTCAGAGGCTTTAAAGGGCCAACCTAGTAAGCACCAACACCAGAAACCCTGAGCCTTCTAGATCGTGGCTGGCTCCGACGTGGTGGTGGCCCCCCGGTCAGTCATCAATGCCTTGGGTACTGCCCCGATAAGTTAACAGTTTAGAGGACCCGAAGGCTCCATGTACCCATATAGTATATACTTAGGCCTTAAAGTACCCATATAGGGGCCCCTTTAAGGCTTAAGTATCTACTATAAAGATACATGGAGCCTTTGGGGGAAGGCTACACACAGATAAATAGGATTTACACTGTTTTGAGCGTGAAAGAGCTCAGAGCTGAGGTTAATTATTTACAGTTTAAAGTAAAAGCCAGAAAGTTGGAATATCATTATCGTAACGCCTTTATGGTAAATTATAGGGGATCCTACCCTGAAACCATATTCCAACTTTCTGGAGTTTCCTGTAGGCTGTTGTGATCAGTTCCCAGGCTTTTTCGATTTTGTAGGTAGCCTGTAACTTTCTGAGTCATTCCATATTCATATTCACAGGTAATTATTCGCCGAATCCTGCCATAATGCCGAACCCCAAATCCTAAACCCTGAAATGCTAGGTTCAAGTCAAAACAGCTTAGTAGCTCTTAGTGTTTACACTTTACACTTCTAAACTCAACAACTAAGATGCGTAGATGGCTCTGCATCCTGAACCAGCAAGCCTCTTCAGCTACGCTCAACGCTTTGCTCTGCCCTATGGGTTTAGGATTTGGGGCTTTGGGGTTTTGAATTTAGGGTTTTTGCAAGTACAATAAGAAATCCCTCAAACATGGTAGTACTACTTGGTCAGGCTTCTATAGTGGGGTTTACTCGGGTCTTGGGGCATCTTATTACAATTTCACGAAGGAACCCTTCAACATCGTAGTACGGTTGATGGTATAAATCCTGCATGACCTTAAGGGCCCTAAACTATGGGAATTATGGTATATTCCTTACTATGGGTAATGCAGGATTTATACCATCAACAGTATGTACTAGTCCTTCTGGACTTCTCTGTGATAAGAGTCTTTCGTGGTTGGCGAATCATCGTTGTGTAGGTTTCGATGAACATGGTGCAGACCCTGAAGACTTTAGGATCCTTATCATGAGGACCCTGGGCAAGGAATGCTACTGGGTTTAAGAAACTATCGTGCAGTACCTTCTAAGTACATTGACATTCAATCCATTGTTTAGGGAGGCCCTTTCTTGGCGTCGATTAGGGTTTGCGGAGACTTCCCGAAGTCCGGAGCTCGTCGATTCTTAGCCTTTAGGGCTAGTTGGCAGTAGCCCGCACTGTCCGTAAATTTGCCAGAACTTCTGTAGGTCAGAGTACATATCCTCTAACTGGTTCAGGCTTGATAGGCTTCATTTAGGGTTGGTTTAGTCTATCTAGTCTTTAACGTTAGGGTTAAACAAGGATAACATAGTATATTATCGTGATGGCACCATCGGCAGCCCAACCTACATCTACCCTCCAACGAGGTGCTTCTCTGGTGGACCAATTCTATGGGCAGGATCTTTTAGCGACGAAACGACATGGTGATCTAATAAAGGGAGTTGCAATGGAAGGCACTGGTAAGCAGTTCATCCCACGAAACCTGAGGCGCTAAACCCTAAATCCAACAACGTGAATCCGAAGTGCTACCATTAATCCTGAGAGCTCACACCCAGGTGCTCACCACCGTGGTGTTCACGCTCACATTTCTGATCTTCGGCGTAAAAAGTTATCGGTTTCGGCAGCCAGGCTTTCGGGAATGTGCGACGTGTCGAGTGTCAGGTGAGGTTTGCAGGAAACTTGTTAGAACGAAGGATCGCTCGTTCAAGGTCTTCTTACAGAGTCAACCGTCCCCGGCCTCAGCAAGAGCTCAAAACGGCTGGAGAACATGAGAACGGAAATCATTTTCCGAACATTAGAACGGACAACATTCTCCAGACGCTGACTTTGTTCAACGCTGTCAATTCAGACTTAGACTTATAGACAATGGATATGTACTTGCAGACAGCTTGTGCTTGTCAAGAACCTTATGAACTACCCTCTCGAATCTCGGAATCTCGCGCACAAAGGCCGCTGTCCGAGTCCGTGTGATTTCCCATTGGTTTCCCGGTAAAGATCCCAGACCTTCCAAAATCCCTTAATTAAGGAATATACCTTAAATCATATTAGGGATCCTATAATAATTTAAGGTATATTCCTTGATTAAGGGATTTTGGAAGGTCTGGGATGTTCGACTCATGGTCCGCTCTACAGGTTTGGATGCTGCAGACACCCAGACCTTCCAAAATCCCTTAATTAAGGAATATACCTTAAATTATAATAGGATCCCTAACATGATTTAAGGTATATTCCTTAATTAAGGGATTTTGGAAGGTCTGGGCAGACCGAGAGGCTCTAGATCATCATTCTGCGTTGATGCATGAGTCTTCTTTCCTTCATTTTGCTCGCTGAATCCTATACACCCTTCAGCCAACTCTCTAAACTGGCCCTAAACCCTAAACCCTCAGTCTTTCGCCCCCCCCCCCTGAAAAGCATGGCTTACGCATGCCCTAAACCCTAAGCTTTTCAGCGACTATTGTAGGGAGGTGGAAGCGGATTGAGCCTGAGGTGGAGGATGTTCTTGGGTTGGGGGTTCGAGGCGGTTTAGGGTTTAGGGTTTAGGGTTTAGGGTAGTGTGGAGAGGCAAGGCGATATAGGGGGGGGTTAGGGTTTAAGCAAGCCAGTTTATGGTTTAATTCTGGTGGTTCCCTAAATCCTAAACCCTAAACCTCAGTTCCCACGGGCCTGTCAAATCGAACCCTGGGAGCACCAGCTGCACTTGCTGAAGCCCTCTATATCCCCACATGCTACCCATGGCAAAGTGGTCACCATCAGGCACCCAATATCATGTAGTATATACTTATATGATGCCTATGTGTGTATATATATATATATATATATATATATATTGTTTTTTATACATGTTTATTTACCTATTTATCACGCACCAGAGAGACTGATGAACAACACACAAAGCTTGACGCACCCTTGTAACGCATAGACTTACAGTGCCGTCACAAACAGTAAGGATAAGTCTGCTCTTATGGTGGAAGATCCTCGGAAATCGCCGAGGCTGCGGCTGTGGTCCTGCGTGGAAGAGCATCCCTCCCTTAGCCTGGAACCCTGGAGGCGAACCCTATGGTTGCCCAAAGGAAGGCTCTTTGGCTTAGGGTTTACCCAGAAGCCCCAAAGTAGTTCCTTTTTGGGATTACCATATACGATTCTATATATGAACCATCAAAAGGAACTTTTTGGGGGCCTTTGGGCAGAGCCAGGGTTTTATAGGGTTTTCGGGCTATAGTGGGCTATAGTTGCGACGCTATAGACCATATCCCCTATAAGCCTCGAACCCCCAACCGCACTTAACTTCTACAGGGGTTGTACCAGTACGTGTCGCAGGGGCTTCAGGCAGATTGAGTTAAGTAGGCTTAGGGTTTTGGGTTTTGGCCGTTGGGCATTCGAGGGTTTAATGTTCAACATGGGAATTTGCGCTGTTCGTCGTTGTTGTTGCTTTAGATGCTTGATGCTGCAACTAAAGACCATCTCCCTGACTAGGCTGCCCTGTAAGCAGCACTGGTTTCCTTCGTTGGGGTTACTTGCCTTTGCTTAGTAGGGAATGGAGGAATGGGGTATTATAATAATTACTCTTGCGACCATTCTTCCATTCCCAACTAACCAAAGGTAAGGCTAGGGCTCGTGGATCTCTCCTGAAGGGGCCAGACGGAAACCAGAGCGGCTGATCCTAAGTCGGCCACCGATTTGAGCCGCCTCCGGCCAGGATCATAATAGTAGACAGTCTCTTGAACCGTTAGCAGACAGGCCCAAGTTAAACTTACATGAAACCTTACTAACTCTGTAAACCCAACTTTCTACAGCCAGGACGCGCGGGCGCTTTCTGCGAAGGCCATGCTTGATCTTGGGGTTCACTTGTGCTGCAGGATTTCGATGTTTAGGTGCTCCCAGAAGTCTTCAGAGGCACAGCTTGAAGGGTCTGCCTAAAGTCTCCATTGCAAATCCTTCTTGGGGTTACCTGTAAGGATCCTTAATATAAAATTTGCTAAACCGAAAAAAGGAGCTACAATGGAGACTATAGGTGGGGTTGGGAATGTAGGATCTCTAGCAAAGTGGTTTTGCGCATGCCATAGCTCCAGTTGCCTATGACTTTGTGGGTTATTGCTGAAGAAGTGATTTGTTGGGGGCCATGGGGTTGTTGGTTAAACCCTCAAAACTTCTACTGTGAGATCTTGGGTATTGCCCCCCCCATTTTTCAACAGCTGCATAGTAATTATGTCTAGTGCAGACATATTCGGCGCTGACTGGTAGCTTTTTATATCACGAATGTACTCAAATAGTATATGCTTTGGCCTGAAAGTCGCGCGCGATTTAGCTGCGTTGGGGACAAAGCAAATACCATTGGGATACATGGACCCTTCGGCTTAGGACTTACCATTCTGCGAGCTTTGCATCAGGGCTCACATTATAGGATTTCTGTTTCCTGTAGCTTCGGTCAAAGGGGAAGAGGAGGGATCCTTAATGGGGACCCCTACCCTATAATGGGGCTATATAATATATATATATATATATATATGTATATATAATAGCTATATTAAGGATATATACCTAGGGGTCCTTATTAAGGGTCCCTCCTTTTACCCTTGGATTCGGGTTTCAGGATCTGTATCCTCTTCTCCCTGAGCCCTAAAGCAAAGCCCAAGCTGACACCCGAGCACAGAGAAGCGAATTCCTTACAGGAGTCCGTAACCCTTAAAGGACCCCTTTTCGGGACCCTTGTAGAAACACTTGTAGAAACACGTACAGAAACCCCCCTATAGAGACGCTTGTAGGCACTTTTGTAGAAACCCCTATAGAGACCCTGACAAGAGCCCTGTGCCCCAAAGCAGAAGCCCAAACTCGAATAGAGCACGTTGCCGAGTACAATAGGGGCCTTAAAAATTAGAATGGGGTTTTGGGGTCCATTATACTATAGTTATTACAAGGAAACCCCAAAATTCTATACGTATTTCTTTAGGCCCCTATATTACAGGCCGCTGAACGCCCTGGTCACTTGGCGGTTCTTGCGTGCGGGGGTGCCGTCCGGAGTTTGGGATGGAATACTTAGCTTCTTAGGACCTGTATAGCTTAGGAATGTTTGGTGCTTCGGAATAGCGTGTTCGGGCCTAATTACCCAGAGACTCCAAAACCCCTTAATTAAGGATTATACCTTAAATTATAGTATGATTCCTAATATGATTTAGGGTATATTCCTTAATTAAGGGGTTTTGGAGTCTCTGGGTAGAGAGGGGAAATGAGGGGAGTTTGGGGCTCGGGGTGTGCAGAACTTCAGAGTTAAGGATGTATAGCCCGGGACACCGCAAGGTCCCTTTAACAGAGCCCTTGCGGTCCTTCATAGTGAGTTTTTGGGATGTGTATTCGAGGGTACCCAGAGACTCCCAAACCCCTTAGTTAAGGAATAGACCCTAAATCATATCAGGAATCACACTATAATTTAAGGTATAATCCTTAATTAAGGGGTTTTGGAGTCTCTGGGTAGTTGGGGGGTCAAGGGGGTTTGGGGTCAAGGGCTGCGTCGGAGAGGCAACTGCAACAGAACCTTGAAGAATCCTTCTAGAAAGCCTGGAGCAGAACGCTGAAGGAGACACCCTTGAAGATAAACTTGATAAAATCATTCCAAAACAAGTTTTTTGGACACCCCGATCTCTTCAAGAATCCTGCTGACTACTCAGGGCCTTAGCAAGTTAGGCTGCAGGGCTAGGAGTTTGAGGCTCAGGAGGTTTGCCCGAGCCCTTCCTTACACCAACAGTTGCAACCTCGGAGGTTTCCAAAGCTGGGATGAAGGTAGGATTATAGTAGAAGCCAGAAAGTTGAAAAAATATTGTCCTCATGCCCTTAAAAGGTCAAGTATAAGGGATCCTCGCAGGCACTAATCCGCCTAAAGCCATGTTACAACTTTCTGGCTTCTACTGTAAGGATCCTTCATGTAAGGATTATTCTGGGATTACCCCACCTACCTAGATCTCACCTATTGCCACCCCTGGCAGAAACAACTTGAGACCTCAAAGGCCCGTGGCTGGATCCCAGGATGCTTCTGGCGGAAGTTAGGCTGATGCTTCGGGGTTAGGGTTGATGGTGTAGGCATGGTGGGGGTTTATGGGGTTTTGGGTAATATCGGGTATAGACGGTATAGAGTCTTCTAAGCTCGACCTCGTGGGCCCTCGACCCTAAACCAGCAACTTCCTCCTCCAAGGACCTTCTTTCGGTGATCCTGCTCTGGTGCATCATTCTTCAACCTCTCGAGCATGGCTTTACGCAGGAGGCGGCATGTGAAGAAATTTCTGAGATTAGATCCTTCCCCGAGCGAACCCCCACTTTGGTTTTCTTGTTTTGGAGTGTCATGGGCTTTCGGGGTTTGTCGCTGCAGCTTTCGTTGGTAGCTCGCGAGAGCACAACTAAGCTAAGTACAGGGACTTAGGCTCAGGACCTTGTGCATTGACTCCTCGACGTCACCCCTTAATCCTAAACCCTAAAACCCTAGACCCTAAACCCTAAACCGCTCTAATCCTAAACCCTCTATGCTGGTCGGGGGCAATTACCGATTGGGAAGACCCATTTAAGAAGCACTAAAAGGCTCTGAAGTAAACCAGTAGATTCATCAAAGGCCGCAAACCCTAGGGCCTAAACCGAGAAGCACTATCGGGACGTAATGAGCAACATAATAATTACCACAGTGGTGGTTATAAGTCTTAAGGTACCTTGTGTATAACTCTAGATACTATGCCTCATGTTCCTCACAGACCTACAGATTTCTAGAGCCATTGCTGTAAGGAGAGGAAACATTTAAGATACTAGGTCTCATGATGCTTTAAGTACCCATAAGGTAAAAGCCAGAAAGCTGGCATATGATTGTCCTAACCCTTCTATGGTAAATTATAGGGTATCCTACCATGAAACCATATTCCAACTTTCTGGAGTTCCCTATAATCCTAAACCCCTAAACCCTAAAACCCTAGACCCTAAACCCTAAACCGCTCTAATCCTAAACCCTCTATGCTGGTCGGGGCAATTACCGATTGGGAAGACCCATTTAAGAAGCACTAAAAGGCTCTGAAGTAAACCAGTAGATTCATAACCCTAAACCCTAAACCCTAAACCCTGTAAGGGCCATAGTACCCATACATCCATCAGGCGGGGGCCGGTGGTGCTCTGTCCGTCGCCTGGAGATTGGGCTTCAAGAGGACCAGCCCGCTACCTGCGGTAGCTGTGAAAACTAAGGTCCCTTTTGGGGTACCTATAATAATAGGTGCCGAGTATTATATAATAGGGACCCAAACAGGGACCCGAAATAATAGGTGCCGTATTATAATAGGGACCCCCAAAAAGGGACCCTAAGTTTGACAACCACCTGCCTTTTAGGGTGTCGGCCGTAGGGTTAGACCATGGTGCGAGGTTGGGGGCGACGAACTGAGAGATGTTGGGTCTTAGTGTAGTGCCGGTTCAGGATCTAGGGTGTCGGCGGTCGGATTTGGCGCCATTGCAGCAACAAGCTGAAACTTTTGGCTTGAAGCTTGGCGAAAGTGCTTCATAGGCTCCGATAGTATGTGCTATACTGCAACTATGCAAGCATAGACCCCTGAACACTGACAGAGCACCACGACGAGCATGAGGACCACGATGACCAAGACAAACAAGACGACCACAACCCTCCATCACGATGTGTTCCCATCTGCTGGCCGATGGGGGAGTTTCCGAAGATAGGGGACCCTAAGTACCCTAAATAGTAGGATTGATTCTAAGGACCCCAGAATAAGGTACCCTTCTTTTCGGAAACTCCCATGTACTGACGGACCGAGATACTTGCCTCCATCTGGCGGAGACACGCCCACCATGCTTCCCCCTATGTACTGGCAGCATTCATGAAAACAGCCCAAAGGCTTCCCATATGGGGGTTTCCGAAAATAGGGGTACCTTATTTTGGGGTCCTTATAATAAGGATCCTAGTATTTAGGGTACTATCTTAGGGTCCCCTGTTTTCGGACACTCCCATATACTGAGTAGATATAAGGATTACTGGGACTTGACTGCACATGCACCACAGCAGAAGCCGCGTCGCAGGGAACCTCCCTTCACACACACTAGCCAAGTCTCTTTATCCCTAGAGCTTGAACACGAATGCACAGACAAAAATGTTTGGGGAAGTGTAGCATACTCCAAAACCCTGGCCAAGTGATTAGGGAGCTATATTATTCAGGTATTCAGACCCCTTTGTCAACCCAGACATATCCACAAACACTCAACCCCCAAACAAACCCAACAACAAAAACCCTAAACCCTAAACCCTAAAGTCAACTCAACTTAAAAAAAAACCTTACCCCCCCCACAAAAAAAAGCGATATAATCCCAAGAGCAGTTTCCCGCAGGATATTGCTCGCCTTGTTCGTCGCATCCGGGGGAGTCGGCCATGCAACTTATAACCAGGCGGGCGGAAGGGTCCCATAGGGTTTAGGGTTCAGGGTCTAGGGTTCAGGGTTCAGGGTTCAGGGTTTAGGGTTCAGGGTTCAGGGTTCAGGGTTCAGGGTTTAGGGTTTAGGGTTCAGGGTTTAGCGTTTAGGGTTCAGGGTTTAGGGTTCAGGGTTTAGGGTTCAGCGTTTGGGGTTCAGGATTTAGGGTTTAGGGTTCAGGGTTTAGGGTTCAGGGTTTAGGGTTCAGGGTTTAGGGTTTAGGGAGGCGGGCGGAAGGGTCCCATAGGTTGGGTACTGCCCCCACTCAGTAACAGTTGGATAATATTTATAACATGGTTTTATTAGGCCCTTAGCATTCGGCCCTATTATAGACTGTTGCTGTATGGGGGCAGCACCCAACCCATAGGCTGGAAAAAAGGGGCCGTAAGAATAAGAACAGGGGCTCACGGGGTTCTTTTAAAAGGGGTGTAGGAGGGTTACTATAAGGGTATTATTCGGTAGGGGCCTTAATCGTTAGACTCGGGTTTGGGGGACCAATTATGCCATATTTAGATTCGAGTACGGAACCCCCGCAACAAAGTATTGGTCATCATGTAGGCCCCTACATTCGGGAAGAGAGTACTTGAGCAACCACCTCTGCAATCCGGGAAGGTCACGTACAAGAGAAGCCCAAGTAATTACCAATATTCCTCGGGGTTCCTTGTTTATCTTCCATTATAAACCAGCCGAAAACTATTCCGCTCGCCCAGAGGTTCAGTCCCCTCCGGCCCAAAACCCCTATTCTAATCGTTAAGGGTTTGGGTTTGGGCTGGTGATGAACCCTAAACCTTAAACCCTAAACCCTAAACCCTAAACCCTCGACTTGATTCAGGGCCGCCACTTCAGGCGGTAATGCGAAACCCGAAGCTCTGGGCGCTCTCTCTTAAACTCCGAGCCCCAAAACTCTCAAACCTTAACCCCAAGATTCTCTCCCAGAGCCCCAAAAGCCAAGGGGTTTAGGCTTTAGGGCTTCGGCTTCAGGGGTTTAGGGTTTAGGCTCCCAGCCTCGCAGCACCTTTGTAGTATAACGGTTGTCCGCAAAACCTAAAACCCTTCTATTGACCCGAAAAAAGCGGCCATCCTCAATCCCTATAAGCCATGACCCTACTTACAGGATCATAGGACTTAGTAACTAGGGTTAGAAGTTAGGTAACTATACTTATAACTACTTATAACCCCAATTAGTGGCACTTATAACCTTACTTACTAAGTCCCATGATCCTCCAAGTATGCTTCCAGGGACTTTATGATTGGGTCCTTCAGGGGTCGAGGAAACCCTAATTATAAGGTCCGTGGAAGCATAGGGTTACAGACCCCTTGCGCAACCTTTGGAGGCTTTATATACTAGAACGTACGGTTTAGGGGTTTAGGGTTTGGGGTTTAGGGTTTAGGCTTCTATACTAGGAACTACTATTTATGGCTTAGGGAAGTATCCTCCACAATGCTACCTGCGGTTGATGATATAAATCCTGCATTACCCATGATAAGGAATATACCATAACTCCCATAGTTTAGGGTCATTAAGGTAATACAGATTTTATATCATCTACCGTGGTACCCTTACTCCCTTTTGTGTAGTCCTGGGTTCCTTATTAGGGGAATTAATATCACAAAGGGAGCTATTTATATGACTTTGGGAAGTATCCTCCACAATCTACCTAGGGCCCTCTGGGCTTCGGAAGTTTAAAAAATCACCAAGCGCATCGCCAGGTCCTGACGCCCAAAGCAAAGGCCGATGGCCGGGTGGTTGAAGAGAAGGCCGGGTGGGGATATGGGAGTTTCCGAAAATTAGGGGTACCTTACAGTGCCTTTAAAGGGTCACTATGCTACCCCTGGGACTAGAAAAGGGTAAACAACATGTAGCAACTTGATTAAGAAACCTCGGGCCTATAACCCCAAAGTTTGTGACTATCGTGGGATGTTTGCCATTCCTCATGCCTCTATGATGTAAGGGTCTTAATATATGATTAGATTGCAGGTTGGGAGTTTCCGAAGATAGGGGACGCAAAGTATGTACCCTAAATAGTAGGGTCCTTATTATTATGACCCCCCCAAATAATGTACCCCTTATTTTCGGGAACTCCCATATGACGTGTGGTGTAGGGTGGGGTTGCATTCTAGGTCCCTGAGTAGTATCCTTTTGCCTTTTTCGTTTGGGGGCCTCGGTATTACAACCGAATATATAAGAGGAAATCGGATACCCGTATTATCACGGGGCTAATCAGGAACCTAGTATGAATTGTGGTGTAGGGTAGGGTTTAGTGTGTTGGGAGTTGGAGTGTATGTAACGGTTTTTTGAATATGTTACTTCGATTGAGTTTTTATGTGCATTGGTGAGTAAAATTCTGGGTGGCGATTTGATGTGATAGATGTCTTCCCGGGTTTCTTCAAGGGCTCTCGAAATTCATTTAAGGCTTCCTTGGCGTTTATGTTACATGGGGCTAACTCGTGGGTCTCGGTGACTGGAGGCAAAAAGGGGTGCTTTTCTTGAGTACTGGTGGTGAGTGTAGATGTTGGTGGCAAATTGGGGATACTGGCAAAGCCTTTTTCACACAAACCCTTCATGATTTGGTAAGGTTTGGAAGCCTCTATGGCAGACTCTATGGGCTTGTCTATCGAAGGATTCAGTACGTTTTGGTGGGTTTTGAGTTTAGTAGGTATCCTTGTGGGAGTTCTATAAGCCAGAATTCTGTCCAGGTAAGAGCTTAGGGTTTGCTTCGTAGCTTTGGGCATGATGGGAGCGTTCGCGGCACAGCGTGCTTGAAGATCCAGGGCTTTAACGTTTGCAACTACTGTCCTGGGTTCTAACGGTGCTGTTGTTCAACGGTCTTTTTGCGGGTCTGTTCCGGGTACACAGCCCGAGATAGTAGGATTCCGTTGTTGTTTGGTAGAAGCCCCCCCCACCCCCCCGCAGGCTTGACAAAAGAACACCTGGTAGCTTGAAAGAGCTGTTGCAGCAACTTGACGGGTTTCCAAGCGGGTCCGTATGCACTACTGTTATGAGAATATATCCGACACAATAAGGATGGTCTGTTGACGTTGGGAGCTAATTCCGGCATGGTAGTATACATGGATGCTGGCGTAGCTTATCAAATTCCGGAACCGCCCGAGATCTTGGAGTACGACTTCCAAGCTGACTCCTGGCGGCCGAACAGACGGCAAAGCCACGCCGGCGACAGCAACCTGGTTCCCTACCCAAAGGGTCCTACGTACCGTTGTGCGGGATACTTCCCTACAGCATGAAAAGACATTCTTATATGGGAAACCTACACTCTACTATATATACTAGTACCCAGTTCCTTGATAGCCAGGGTTTCGTCTCCAAGTGGCTTAGTATTAATAAAGGGTTTCGGAATTAGGTAAGGTTCTCTCTCCCACAGTATGTATCTCCAATGGTCAACCTTGGGTTCCGTTGTCATAGGTCTTCTGTGAGGGTTACATTATATCACATTATCAGGGCTACTAGTAGGTTTTGTGTGAGGACTCATGGGGTTGCGAGTTTAGAGTGTAGAGTTTAAGGTTTCGGGACGTTCCTGGACTTTTCTGCGTCGGCTAGCTTTTTGATTCTCTGGGCTCCAGTTGAACCTGTATAGTCCAGTCGTCACAGCCCCTGTGTTCGATCCTTTTAGAAGCTTTGCTCTTAGCCGCAAAGCCGGAAGCCTAGTCCCACGTATTTCCCGGTTAATGCTGACGGAGGAAGGGAACCCCTAAAGTACCGTGAAAGAACCCTGCAAGGAATTCTTATAATCTAGGAGCTTAATGCTTAAATCATTACCCAATTTGGCGGTTCCTGACTATTTAAAGTATCCCGAAACCCAAGTCTAACTATTAAGGTCCGTATATCAGTGTTTTCATATCACTAGTCGATAATTCTGAGTTGAAGTATTATAACTGCACAGCAGTAAAAATTACCCCGTTACCCAATTCTATTTACAAGGTCCCTATACCATGGTACCCTTATGGTAGACCTCATAGAACCCTGTAAAGGAACCCTATTCGAATCATTAAGGCCCCTAGATTGTTTGCCCAAAGAGGATGCCATGCAAGGCAAACGGCGCAGCGTCTTCGAAAACCTTCCTCAGGAGCCGACGAGAAGTTGAGAAGTCTATGGTTTTCGGGGCTTACTTTTGGGGGGCGGGGGTGAGTTTAGAGCAGAAACCACATCAGCTATGGAGGTTGTAAGGTTTCATGGGTAGTTTTGCCTGAAATATAGGGCGAGTACGGTTAATGGTTATGTGGTTAAAGGTTTAGGGTTTGGGATCTTTGAGTTTGTACTGTCTCCACACGTCTCCTCTAGGTCCTCAAGGCCCATAGCTTCATAGAGCCACTGCAGCGAGCCAGGGTTATCCGAAGACGGCGCCACATCCGTCTACGGACGCGCTTTAGCAGGCATTACGACGCAAGCACCCAGCAGAATCCTACACTGACACAGGTTGTTTGTGCTGACAAGTCTTTCGGTTTTGTAGCCAGCACGCTTGAGCTATAGACTATATAGACCTTAACCCACGAGACACGAGCATTCACCTGCTGCTTGGCAGGTTTCAATCGCGTGACGGAACCGTCTGAACGTTTGTGAATCCCATCACGACATGTGACCGAGAGCATCGAAGGCGTTCACTTCAGTTGTAGATTGGCTGCTTACGGCTTATTGGTCAAGTATATCAAGAACAAATTACACCACATACTAAAATACACAGCAGAGTCGACTACACAAAACACGGGAAGCACATTTTCGAGAGTTAGAGCTGCAGAATCTAAAGCTGGCTTGGTTTTGGGCGGTTATGAGGGCCAGGCTGCAGTATGGACGAATGGGCACCCTACATGGGTAGTTGTCAAAATTGAGGTCCCTTTTTGGGCACCCTAAAAATTCGGTGCCGTACTATATGAAGGCCCCAAAAAGGGACCCTAACTTTGACAACCGCCCACATAGCTCTGCCACTTTGAAGCCCGGAACACCCTCGACCCTGAACTCCTAACCCTAAATCAAACTCCATGGGTAAAAGGAGGGACCCTTAACAAGGACCCCTAGGTATATACCCTTAATATAGCTATTATATATATATATACCCATTATTCAGCCCATTGTAGGGTAGGGATCTCCATTAAGGATTCTAGGGTAGAGATCTCCATTAAGCGTCCCTCCTTTTCCCCTTCGACAAGCTGGAGCGACTGAGCAGGAAGATGCTTTCGGTTTCGATCCCAAGTCTGGAGGCAAATTCAGGCCGTGGAAACCTGGGTTTGGAGTACCATAGTTGAATACTTTTGTTGTACCTGTTCCTTAAAGGAACCCTGATGAAATAAAAGTCTATACTCTTTTTCTCCCTGGTTACTTCAAAGGGGACCCGAACATAGTACCCGAAATAGTAGGGTCCTTATTATATAGGGGACCCTAATATAGTACCCGAAATAGATAGTAGGATCCTTACTATAAGGACCCCAAAAGAAGGTACCCCTAATTTCCGCAAACTCCCAAAGAGAAGACTGAATTCCGGGTCTCGGCCCCAAAACAGTCAACCCGGAAACCCTAAACTCCGCTTTGAGGTAGAACGCATATGTTTTTGGTATACGTAGGGGCTCTAAGGGGATACTAGTTACTAGTAGGAAGCATTCAGACTCCAACATACTGTGCTCAAACAGGTCCGAAACCTGTACCAAGGTCCTCAGGCTCAAGCTTGGGATAGGAACCTTGACCTTCAACTCTTAAACCTAATACAGGGGTCTTAATAATTAATACTATTTTGGGGGGTTCCTTATTTTTTGTAAGATACGAGTAGTCCCAAAACCTTATTCTAAGTATTAAGGGCCACGTATGTTAGACTCCTAGATCCGAAATCCGAAACCTGAGGCACAAGAACGGATGCTCAAACTCTGAAGGCCTAAGGCTGCCTCGTATGTCTTGTTTTACGGCTTAGAGTTGGTTTGGGGTTAGGGTTTAGGGTTGGTTATAGGTTTAGGCTTCAGGTTTTAGAGTTTTTCAAAATACAAGGTTTAGGACTCAGGGTTCAGGGTTGGTTTAAGGTTTAGGATTCAGGGTTTCTTGTGTCCAGTTTCTCGCTACAGTAGATACACTTCAGCCAGCGTCCTACGGCTGATGGTATAAATCCTGCATTACCCATGAGAAGGAATATACCATAATTCCCATAGTTTAGGGTTCTTAAGGTCATGCAGGATTTACAGTATATCATCAACAGTAGTTTGAAACCCCTGTACTCCCGAAACTGGCGAGGCTGCTGCTGGTGATGAGCGCTGCACTGAGTTCAATGAGACTTAGCTGCCACTTCAAGGGCTTAAGGTTTAGGTGTGGGTGGTTGTCAAAATCATGGTCCCTTTTGGGGTCCCTATTATAATACGGCACCTAATATTTGGGGTACCCAAAATGGGGCCATAATTTTGACGACTACCCGTGTAGAGCTGTTTCAGGGGGTGGTTTAGGTGATTTATCTTGCAACCTCCGAGCCCAATCGTTCGGAACCCTTACATCCGCAACAAGCAGAAACCCCGAACCCCGTGAATCCTCAACAGAGAACGTGGTTGCCCTCTTCATGAGTCCGCACATAAAGGATATAGACAGCTCGGTTCAGCCACCTGGAGAGTTCTGATTCCTACGTTGGGGGCGACAAGGTCTATCTTCCAAACACTGCCGGCCATCACTTACTTAAAGGCTCATGGGACTTAGTAAGGTTATAAGTAGGTTATAATTAGGATAATCCCACTTAGGGGACTTATAACCCCAATTATAACCCAACTTACTAAGTCCCAGGATCCTCCAAGTATGCAAACCCGAAACCCCCTCGCCTTGAGGGTTCAGGGTTTAGGGTCCCAGCCCGGCAAGCTGTATAAGGGTTCCTTTAAGGGATCCATAAGGGTTCCTTTAAAGGGATCTATAAGGGTTCCTTTAAGGGTTCCTATAAGGGATCTATAGGATCTAAGGTTTAGGGTTTAGAGTTTCCGAAAATCGGGGGTACCTTATTTTTGGGGTCCTTGTAATAAGGATCCTAGTATTTAGGGTACTACATTAGGGTCCCCTATTTTCGGAAACTTCCGTATTAGTACAGAAACTCTGAAAAAATCGCGAGGATCTCCTTCTTTGTTGACCGCGGTGCCGGAGTCCTGCAGGCACAGGGTACTGCAGCTAAGGCTCCAGTAACCTGCTGTATGGTTGGCACTATCCGACGACCCCCCAGACGCTAAGCCCTAGATTCCCTAGATCCCTAAAATCAGGTGAGATATTCCGCGAAGTCGTAACAATCGCCAATGCTCTAAGCGCCGAAGATCGAGAACCGCCCAGACCTTCCAAAATCCCTTAATTAAGGAATATACCTTAAATCATATTAGGGATCCTATTATAATTTAAGGTATATTCCTTAATTAAGGGGATTTTGGAAGGTCTGGGGATATTCAGCGGGTTCCGGGTTAGGAGCGTCAGTCCAGTCTTGATTTGCGTCGAGGCAGGAGCTTATAACAGAATCTAAGACCAGGCGCCTGGACACCCACAACCTACCCTAGACCCTAAAGCTTAAACTGTGCAAAAGCGTGCGAGGTGCTACCAACGTCGTGGCCTCCGAACCCCCGAAACCTCAAACCCCTCCCCAAACCCACAGTTCGAAACCTTAAGCCCCAGATCCAGAACCCTAGATGCTGACGAATGATGTCCTCGACTTCTTTCTCCACGTCTTCGGGGGCCTGGGAGAGTCGCCATTAAGTCGCACTGAACTGGGTTCATGACAAGTTTTGCCTTCGAAGTTCCGCGACACCCTAAACCGTCAGGAGGTGGAGTTTGGGGATTGTCTGCCTAACAATGGAGTGCTGTTGTAACGCTCTTGTGCTCCACCTCCTTCCTTTCCCTCTTCCCGCTTCGGTTACTATAGGGCCTTAATAACTACCTTTACTGTTTTGGGGGCTCCTTATCATAGCTCTAGTATATTTTTTCCCAAAACTTATATAACCCTATTCTAATTATTAAGGCCCCTATATTACCTGGGTCGCATTGAGCTCCGTGTTGAGCTGCGTTTCCCCGTGGCATCTGCCTGGTCTTGGTTTTGCAGCTTTCTAGGCCATTGGTCTCCTTCTTCTCGCCTCTTCCTCGGGACTCCTTCAAGGGTTCCTCAAAGAGATCTATAAGGGGTTCTATAAGGGTACTAGTTATAAGGCATAAGGATAATTCTCTCAATTAGGGTTCCGTCTTATATTGGGGTTTAGGCTTGAGGGTTTAGGTTTCGGGCTGTCAGTCTCCGTTCTTGTACGGGACCCTTTCGAGCTTGTAGCCACTGCTCCCTTGCACAGGACCCTTTGTTCAAAGGTTTGGGCTGCTGTGGTTACGTCTTCCATTCCAGGGTTAACGAAAAGTCTGAAGAACTGCATAGCACTAGCATAAATACAGTGCCTATCTGCCTACCTGCTTACATACCTAACTATCTACTTACCTATCTACCTGCATACCTAACTACCGGCTCGTTTGTATCTACGTACGTACCTACCTGCCTACCTATTTGTCTATCTGTCTGGGCTGTGTTTGTATCTTTCTATCTACCCATAAAGACACTATAAATCAGCATAGTACACCGCGAAACCGTAGTCTAGTAACCCTAAACCCTAAACCCTAAACCCTAAACTAGTCTAGTCTAGTCATAAAGGCCACTCTACAACAATGGTTTGGGCCACCAAAGTTCAGGGTTCCCATGCGGTCCAAAGACGATCCCTTAGGCTCCCTGTTTCTAGAAAGTATCATATAAACACCGTCGGCCCTTCCACAAACCCTCTAAAAACCATAAAAAAAAACCATGAAAACTGGCCTCTTTATTATGTATTGCCTGAAAAATCCTATGCTGCGAGGCAGTTAGGCACCCAGACTCTCCTCATCTGCCGGTCAAAGGAGACGTGCAAGGCCCCAAATCCTGGAAATCGAATCCCAAAACGTCAGGACCTGCAGAGCTCCAGGTTCGCGGTTCAGAGTTTACGGTTTCGGGTGAAGGGTTTCAGGTAAGCCCGGAAGCTTACAGAGCCTCAGTGCATAGCTCAGGTCCTTTGTGGGCTTCTTCATCCTCTTACTCTGCGCCTGGGCTGGCATGGCTAGATTCGTTTCGGCAAAAGAACTGTTGATGAGGGTTCAGTTTCAGTAGACAGAGTGAGAAACAGAGAGAGGGAGAGGGAATCACGACGGAAGGAAAGAAGGAAGGAATGAAGCTATGCAACCATCAAAGAAATGCTTTCAGAACCTCTTAAGACCTTACAATCAAGGGGAAGAGAAGGAACTGCGATCCTTACAGAGCTACTAAGCTCCGAACCCTTAAGCCCAAAGCCCCGAACCCTAAACCCCGAGATCCTGAGCCCTAGACCCGTAAACCGCAACCACTCCTCAACCCTCAAAGCCTGAATTACCTTCGAGATATCTCTATTACCTCCCGGAAATCTGTTAATCTCCTTCTTTTCCGATATCAAAAGTCGTGAAGTCGTCAACCTCAAACTCAAGACTCCCAAACCCTGAAACCGGCAATGCAGCTCTCTTTATAGAACCCAGATCTCTCTATCCGAAAGCCTGAATCCTACGTCCGAGACTTCAAACTCTAAACCCTGAAACCCTCACTCCTATAGCGCCTAAACCATGAGACCCTGAAGCCCTAAACCCACAAGCCTGAAACCCTGAACCCTAGGAATAGAATAGAAATGGTCACGCCTGCCGCCTCCTAATTGACCCAGTACAACCTGCCGCAAAACCCTCAACCCTCAAATTAAGTATAGGGTTTGTGGTATTCTACACAGAAACGGGTCTAGCCTGGGTATAGCTGTTCTCTTCCAGCGGGACGGTAAAGAAAGGCAACGCCTACCTCCTCCAAGCCCAGGAGCCTGGATTCCTTCTTTAAAGAAAAGGTAACGCCTACCTCCTCTAAAGGCAGGAACCTGGATCCCTTCTCAAATCCTTATATAAAGCCTTAAAGGAACCCTAAGCCCTTCTTTAAAGGAAAGGTAATGCCTGCCTCCTCTACACCCAGGAACCGCAAAGCCCTTCTGGATCTTTAAAGGAACCCTTGTAGATCCCTGTAAAGGAACCGTAAACCCTAAACCCTTATGGATCCCTTGAAAGGAACCCTTGTAGAGATCCCTTTAAAGGAACCATAAGGAACCCTAAAACCTTACCCTTAAATGAGCACTAAACCCTTCGTTAAAGAAAAGGGATCCCTTATAGAACCTTTGTAGAGATCCCTTTAAAGGAACCATAACGAACCCTAAACCCTTACCCTTACAGGAGCACTATGCCCTTCGTTAAAGAGAAGGTAACGCCTGCCTCCTCTGGAGCGCCTATGCACTCGTCCGGCTCTCGCCGGAAGCGGCAGGAAGCGGGCTTCCCGAGGCCTGGGGACGAAGAACTTCGGGTTCCTTTAAAAAGGGATCTATAAGGGTTCCTTCAAAGGGGTCCATAAGGGTTTAGGGGGTTTAGGGCTCAGGGTGTAGGATTATAGTTGGTCCCTTTCCAGGATTCGGGTTACTGTGAGGGTTTAGTGTTTTTGCGTGCGTTTGCCGGTGTTTCTGTGTATGCTGTAGGGTTTATTCAACCGGATGTGCATAAGGGTCTATAGTCTTAGTATTTTATAGGAGGCTCAGTAAGTTTACGGGTGTCCTTTCCCGTTTGCATTACAGGGCTTTCTATCTTAGATTACAGGGGCCTATCTGGATTTGTGGGCTTACAGGGCTTTGAGATTGTTTTGAGTATTTGGGCGGTCTGGGATTAGGGATGTAGAGTTGAGCCGGTTTGGGGAGGGGAGGGGGTTTGGACATTCAGGGTCTGAATGCAGTTTGTGCTGTTCCGAGGTTCGTGGTTGAGTTTCGTTGGCTTCAGCCTGCGGACGCAGGTGTTGAGCATTGCGGACAGCGCCAAGCACTCACATGTTTAACTCAATCTTCATCCCCAAACCGTAAACCCCAAAACTCGAAAAGCCCAAACCCTGAACAGGAGGGTGCAAGCTCGAATCCATTCGGGATGAAGCTGTCAAGCCCATGCTATGCATGTACAGCCGGGTACATATGTGACAGTACTAAGTCAAGCGAAGCTTGAACAGCAAGCAAAGACGAATGCATAGCTACATATGAACAGAGATGGTAGTATGATCTTGAGTACTTTGGTAAGTAAGAAGAAGTCAACCTAAAATCACAACCGCCCACCGCACCCTAAACCCTAACCCCCCCCCACCCCCCGAACCTGGTCGCTGTCCTTCACCCATCGAGGTGAAGTGCATCCTCAGAAGCTGGGCCGCAGGGAGGATCGCCAGTTCAGTTCTAGACCTTATCTTTGTCATAGTTGGGTAACGTTTTACATTTTTATGGGTACTTAAAACCCAAAAGGAGTAACAGTTTTAATGTTTAATCTTATCCCAACCATGAACTAGCTGGAAAGGCTCTGGTAAAGGGCATTAAAGGTTTAGCAGGGTCGCTTGAACTTTAAACTCTAAACCCTTGCAACCCAAAGCTCCAAACAAACTATACTTCAAAGAACGTGACACCTTAGCCCAAACGATCCCAAGCTTATTCAACCCCTTGAACGCCCTTTGGGTTAGCTGAGGTGGGATCTCGCTTGAGAACTTTCTGAAGCCACGAGTGCTAGCCGCAAAGTCGATCGGCTTCTTGGCGCAGAGTGGCGTTTGCTTCAGGGGTGGGGGTTTAGGGGGTTTTGGGGTTTAGGGGTTTAGGGTTTTGGGGTTGCCATTCCGGATTCAGGGTTCACAGTTGTGAGAAGTGAATATGTAGAGAGTTTGAGAAGTATGGAGCTCCGACAGAAGTTGGCCACCAATCGGTGCATGCAGTACCCTTGAACCTCACTGTCATCTGTCTCATCCAAAGCTTCCTATTGGTCTGTCAGGTCTGATGCTGGTGCTGGGCGAGTCCCTACCTGTCGGTAAGGACTGGATTCAGATGTTTTCCCTGAACCCTAAGTTAAGTTTATAACCTGCCGGGCTCCAAGTGCACAGGGTCTCACACCGTTTTGTCATACTTGTGGCTGGGAGCTAGCAGCCTCGGCACCGATGGGTTTGGTTTTCGTCTCCCGGCACCATGCATCTATACTAGGTGGGGCTTTGGGACATTTTATATTTTCCCTTATTGGGCTTAATGAGGATCTTACCTACTAATATTTTTCAAAGGCTTTGAAAGCACCTCCTAGTATACCGTAGTATAACTGACTGATTGGGCTGTTGTCAACCGCAGTGGGTTGCTAGTATGACTCTTTGGTTGCTGCTCATGTCCCCTTACCCTAAACCCTAAACCTAGACCCTGGCTGGGCCCTGGAGTCTTCGCTTCCTTGTTATCGTTTCCTTATACACGTCCTCGAGAAAGGTTGGGCTTCCGGGGGTTCAGGTAAACCCCGAACCCAACCCCTGAAACCCTGACCCCCTCTCTTGGCCGCTCGATGTGACATCCTGCCGTCTACTCTGGTATTTTTTTCCGGTTCTGTGGCTTGGGGTTCAGAGCTTCAGGGTTTTGGGCTTGTGGTGTTTTGGGGTTTAGGAGTGTGGGGTTTCGTGTCTTGCATTCCAGAGCGGCCCGTGTGATCTTGCCAGGCTTCTCGTGTCTGCGGTCGTGGAGTAGTCCCAGGTGTTAGGGTTGATGATATAAATCCTGCATGACCCATAATAGGGAATATACCATAATACCCATATATTCCTTATTATGGGTAATGCAGGATTTATATCATCAACCGTAGGGTTCTTCTTCAAAGGACTCATGAAGAAGGCAGCCCACACGTCAAGGAATGTGCAAGGCCCTCAAACCTTTTGCACTCCACGAACTTCTCTCTATACGGAGCCCTGGAAAGCCCCAGGAAAGTTTTTGTAGTTACCTGGACCCCAAAAGTATGTAGAAAAATAGCCTTTATAGGGCTTTGGGCCATTATGCAACCTACTTTTTAGGGGTTTAGGTAAAGCCCGTTCAGACCCTTTCAGAATCCTTTCAAAGAGCCGTGGTTTCGGCAGGAAGGGCCCTTTGTACATATCGCCTCTTGCGTCAGCGCTGCACTGTTGCCACTCGACGGAAGGGATGGGTATAGGGCTTAGCTTTTCCGGCTTACCTAGACACCCCAAAGTAGGTAACATAATGGCCCAAAACCGGCAACAGGCTATTATTCTTCATACTTTTGGCAGGTAGGGCTTAAGGGCAGCAGCATCGTCGGCCATTGGATACTCTTGCTCGCGCTGCCTTGTTTCTGTCCAAGTTCAACCCTAAAGCTTCAACCTCAGACTCTGGACCTTAGTATAAACCTATGAGCCCTTAAAGGAACTCCCTAGAGATCCCTCAAAGGAAGGAAACCCTAAACCCTAAACCCCTGTAGATCCCTAAAGGAACCCCCAGAGATACCCCTAGAGATCCCTTAAAGGAACCCCTCTAGATCCCAAAAGGAACCCCTAGAGATCCCTAAAGGAACCCCTAGAGATCCCTTAAAGGAACCCCTCTAGATCCCAAAAGGAAGCCCTAGAGATCCCTAAAGGAACCCCCTAAACCCTAAACCCTAAACCCTAACCTGAACCCTAAACCCTAAACCCCAAAACCCTAAACCCTAAACCTTAGCTCCAAACCATAAGCTCCCTGAGGAACTGGCCGATGTTTGCTCGGGTCAGCCTGGATCGCCAAGAGGCCGAGAGAATCGAAAAAAAAAGAAACACACACACATATATATATATATAGGTTAAGGTTTAGGGTTTAAGGTTTAGGGGTTTGGGGTTTAGGGGTTTAGGGTTGAGGAGTGTATACAGGAGTTTCCAAAAATTAGGGGGTACCTTAGGGTGCCTTTACGGGGTTACCACAGGGTACTACAAGGGTTCCTGTACAGGGCTCTATAAGGGCTTGGAGTTTCCGAAAATTAGGGATACCATATTTTGGGATCCTATATCATCGACTTGAAATCCAGTCCTTCCTTGCACGATCCACCTCCTTCGTCGGAGGTGCTCTTGGCTGCGGTGGCCGTTGGCGTAGGCGCAACGCGCCCCGCCAAAGATGACATACTTTGGCTATGGAATGTAGAGTTTCCCGAACTAAACCCTAAACTGTAAAACCCTAAACCCTAGACCCCAAGGTCTGTCATCCTTCCAGAGCAAAAGCTAGGGTTCTTGAAACGAGGAAGTTGACAACCCAGACCTTCCAAAATCCCTTAATTAAGGAATATACCTTAAATTATAATAGGATCCCTAATATGATTTAAGGTATATTCCTTAATTAAGGGATTTTGGAAGGTCTGACAATTACATGTTTCGTGCGTATCCCCGATGCAGCTCCGTGGGTCGTTTTTCTTACCTTTGGTTAGTAGGGAAGGGAATGGAAGAATGGTAGTCATAGTAGTCATAATTATACCCCATTCCTCCATTCCCTGCTAACCAACGGTAAGTTTTGAGCTTTGGAGAAGATTTGGTTTGGGACCGAGTTTGAAGGCTCAGGGGCTTTAGGGATCCTTGGGGTGTAGGGTTCAGGGTTTAGGGTTTAAGGTTTAGGGTTTAGGGTGTAGGGTTTAGGGTTAGGGTTCAGGGTTTAGGGTTTAGGGTTTAGGGTTCAGGATCTTCGGGGATCATGGTGCAGGTCTTGTTTATGGAGTCTTGGGGGCCTGGGCGGAATAGTGCTGGACAGGCGAGTTTCTGTTTGGGTTTGTGTGGGATGAATGGCTTTCAAGATTCGGTAAAGGGTGTGGGGTTTAGGGTTTAGGGTTAAGTAAGATTCGGGAATTGCAGACATGACAGAGGGCCAGATCCCCTTTGTAGGCCGAGAAGCCATCTTCCCCTTGAGGCTCCGAGACCCGACGCCCCTCATGTACCGGCCCTGTGAAAGAGTTCAGCGATATAGAGAGCTCTCCATGAAGATCCTCAGGGGAGCAGTGTTAAGCATGCCCTGAAACCGTGCTACGCTTGCAAATGTTCCGGATACTATGATAACTAAAGAAGATGGCCAAACTGGCCATTGGTTAACAGAGTCGTTTGTTTAGTTTAGGGATCCTATGTCAGTATACTTATAGTGCTCATACCGACTTCACAAGCTGTCCGAGGTTTTCAGCCCCTGTGGGTGGCGTGCTGTCTCCCGGCAATGCTCATGCTCGGCTCGTTTTGCCCAAAACCGGGGGTGATATATGTATACAGTATACACACACACACACACGCACATCTACATGTATATCTATGGGACTGAAGCCTAAACCGCAAGATCAAACCACCTAGACTTCGCACACCCTTAGGTCCTGGAGACAACGTTCGCTGCTGCTCGTAGTTGGCCAACTGACAGCTTGTTCGGATAGATGGTCAACGATGGTTCTGTGATAGTGTAACATATGACATAGTGTAGTGTGTAACATGTCATGATATAACGTAACCATACATACATACAGACAGACTGACTAACTATAGATGACAGCAGAGGCAGCCTAATTGCTGTGTCGAGGCATGGCACTTATGAGTACTCTCAGTCTCAGTTACGAACTTTTCAACCCACAACTCAAAGGGGTTTGCCCGAAGGGTCCAAAGGGCCCAACAATCAGGGGATTGGTTTTAGGATGATAGGGCTACAGATTGCCGTCTTGGAGATTGTATGCTCAGCAGGGTCTACTAGGGTTATAAAGCTACAAGACAACGAGAATGACAAGAGCTCCAGATACACAATCCTAACACGAATAATTATATCCCTTACATCCTTCCTATATAAGGCTAGTGCAATACATGCCCACGGAGCCCTGGTAAGCCCCCTATAAAACTGGAAAGACCCTACAGAAACATTTGAAGACAATTTTACGCCCTCGTAGAGACCTTCACCAATCCATTTAGAAACCCTTATAGTGTTATAACATGGTAATATGGAAACCTTTCGTAAACCCGTTGTGGCAACCCGTATAGAAGCCTTATCTAATTGTCATTGCGCCTCAGGTTCGCCCTGGAGTTGATGATGCCACGGCTCTACGATACCTCCTCCTACTCTGCCTGCTTTTTCGCTTCGACCTTCGGTACCTTTGCATCTCGGTGTAATTTGGTGTACTTCAGTCGCGCTTTGGGTTCAGGGTTTAGGAATTCATGAGCTGCATGGTATGAAAACTCAGGAACCCCGGCCTTATGATCTAGGCATCTGTGTGAAGCTCTTACGTTGTGGTGAATCCGAGGCAAGCCCAAAAACTTGAGCCTGGTTGTGTTCAAAGCTGTGCGTATATTGGAAAACACAGATCATACTCTTAGCTCTTCAATATGGTTTAGGACTAAAGGGTTTAAGGGTCTTGGCCCTAAGCTCGAAGCCGTAAGCCCTGCATCTTGACTGCTCGCTGGGGTCTCTAGTGTGAGTCTATTTTGCAGGGTTGAGGTCGGAAGCGTCCGTAACGATATCCCCTTATGATTCTAGCCCCTAGTAGACCCTCAACCCTGAACCCAAATTGCAGCCCTTGTGCAAGATCTAGGTTTGGCTTTGGGACATTTTATGTTTCCCCTTCTTGGGCTTAAGAGGATCTTATTTACTAACATTTTTCAAAAGCTTTAAAAGCCCCACCTGGCATATGGGATATGCCCCAAAATCCAATCATCACCCAAGGCCCCGGCTTTGAAGGCTTACCGGGGGTAGGCAGGTTGGGGATCTGGGGCGTGGTATTCACCTAAACCCCGTAAAAGTAGGTTAAAGAATGGCCCAAAACTCTATGAGGGCTATTATTCTACATACTTTTGGGGTCCAGGCAGGGTGTGTGATTTCAAGCGTGTACGGGTTTGTTTCAGATTCCTCGTAGCACTCTTGCGCCCACTAAGCCCTTCATGTCTTCACGTGTTCCCTAATGAGCCCTAGAAGTTACTGAAGCCCTGCCCAAACCCCTACCCTCTGAAGCCCTGAAGCCCTAATTCCCATCAGGTCGGCACATCCTTAAGCCCTTGTATCACCCGCCTCGAGATGTTTGCTCGAACCTCTTTCGTCCTGCACATTCGTCATAGTCTGGATTGTGGTTCTGTGTAGAGCCCTTGCGCCCGCTGAGATCTTCATGTGTTCCCTGCACCCAACCCTAAACCCTAAACCCTAAACCGTTACATAAGCCCTATTACACCCCTGAAGCAATGACTCCCTAAGCCGTAAGAAGCAAGCTAAACTCCTAAGTCCCTTCAGGTCTTCCGCTATGGGATGTTATGTAATTGCAATCTTTAGGGCTTATAACCTTAGGGGTACTTAGAAATATTTTTTTAATTTTTGGTTACTATAATCCCTAAGAAACAGCTGAAATATAATTTGTGCTAGGGTTCTAAGTTCTAAGTTCAGTATAGTTACGGTATGTTGCGCCCGCTCAGGTCTTCATGTGTTTGAACATGATTACCTCGGGTAGCGGCCAGCTGAAGCCTCTCTTCAACTCGGACAGACCTGGGGGCCTCAGAGGGTTCTTGAAAGGGCTCCTCTATAAGGGCTACTATACTTGAAAGGGCTTCTGTCAAAGGATGAGGGTTCTTCAAAGGGCTCCTCTTAGGGTTTAGGGTTTAGGGTTACTGTGAAAGGTAGTGTAGGGTTGTATGATAGGGTCCCCCTCTACGGATACTTCAGAGTTCTAAAATTGGGTTCCTTTGAAGCGTTCATCCATGGGATACTGCATGGGTTTATCAGAGAGGCCGTAATAATTGGAATAGGGGGTCCTGACCTGTCTGCTTTGTTGAATTCCTGTCGGGGTACAAAAGGGGCCCAAATGATTGCCAATACTACTGTGGGGGTTCTTCATTTGGATTCTGGTATTATATGCCCCAACACCCTATTCTAATTATTCAGGCCCCTATAGTACTGCTGTTTGGGGTTTTTGGTTCAGGGGGGCCTCAGGTTGAGGGAATGCTTCCGGTGGGTCTTTCTAGCGTTCTTTGGGCATTTCGTGAAGGGCTTCTTTCAGCATAGACCGTCCGAGCTCTTGGAGATCCCTTTTGGATATCTTTTTTCACGTTTCCGTGGTGGGATGTTGTTGCTTAACGATACCTACAAAACCCCCAAAGTAGGTAAAAGAATGACCCAAAAGCTAGAAAAGGCTATTATTCTACATCCTTTTGGGGGCCAGGTCTTGATCATGAGATGTTCGTAGTGCCCGACCAGGACATCACTGCAGAGAACTCGCCGACGCTGGCGGCGGAGACGCAGGGCTGTTGGTATCGATTGGGGCTTCAACGAATAGACGGGTCTGAATCAGGACTACGATGCCTCAGGGCCGTTGCATAGGATCCTAGACCCCCCAAAGTAGGTAAAAGAATGGCTCAAAAACCTAGAAAAGGCTATTATTCTACATCCTTTTGGGGGTCCAGGGCTGTATTCTAAAGACCTCCAATCGGGCTTCGACGGTCGTAATCACTAGACTCGCACTAGACATAGAGGCCTTAACAATTGGAATACCCATTACACTATAATTCTAACAAGGGACCCCCAAAATTCTAAAGGTAATTATAGAACACCGACGAACATGTGAGAAGGAGATTCGCATTGGTCGCACTAGTCGAGACATCGAAAGATCACAGTTGCTAGGACCTAGAGTAGGCCCTTATTCCCTTTGTAAGGGTTCAGGTTCCTTTATAAGCCCCTTTAAACCAAAAAGGGCACCCTTTTTATTCCTAGGGTACTCTTGGGTCTAGTTTGCAGACAAGGGTTCAACGGTTCCATAGATGTTAAGCCCAGTTCTTCTAATTGCGCAGCGCAAGGAGGCTGTTTAATGTGCAGTCATGTAGAGCTCTGAATACTGAATATCAAAGCTCAGCGCAGTCCCTAAATGCCGAAGGTCGTTTGAATGTCAACGCCGCCCCTATAATAGTACATCCGGGGCTATATAAGTTCACCGTTCCATGCTCTTTGACGGCTTGGATTCGTTTGTCGTGCATGTTCGTGCTGCATTCTGCAGAAGGGTTAATATATGGCTCGAAATACTGAAGTAATACCATGTAACTATTCCTTCGGGTTCCTGTTTTTTCGTATACTATGCAAGCCAACATCAGAAGCCTCATGTTCTGGTGACTTTCAGTATCAGTATCGTATCATTCGTAATATTATCCGCCGTCTTCTTGCTATCATTACGGCCCCCATGAGCTTGGTTGGATCTGGATGTTGGGATTGGGAGCTGATGTTTGCCGAAGAAGTTGAGCAAGGTCCCGAGTCAATGTTCGTTCAGCTCATGTGAAGCGATTTTTCTGGGACCGCAGCCCCTGCTTACCCGAGGATTGTGTTTATCATACTGTGTCTCTTCACTGGCGCCCTTTCTGGGGCTTTGGCAAGCAGCTTCGTTCTCTGTCACAGGCCGGTTGGTATTGTCAGAGATATCGACATTCTGAAGAGAACATTGCTAACAGAGCTCTTTCCGACATATTCTGCAGATTAAGGCTTACAGCCCGAACTCCACATTGATCAGCGCATAGGACTTCGGAACCTAGGCCAGTCATGTGTATAGTTGGTTACTCTTTCGTACACCTCAGACTTCAGATAAACTTTATATATGGGAACCCATACTCCCAGAGGGTGACCGTGCGCAGACACTGTCAGAGTGGTTTCCAAGCCCGAAGTCCATAGAAGTAGCGCCATCCATGCGCAGTATCGAAGTCTGGCCTTTACCCCAACCTACAGATACCACAACCCCCCCCAAAATAGCTGCACCGGACCTAAGCCCTAAACCCTAAACCCTAAACTGCTCATTGCTTGAAGCAGTACTGTAGTCGACCTTAGCCGCATAGCTTACCTATAGTCTCCATTGTAGTTCCTTTTAGGGGTTACCTTATAGGATCCTAATCATATATTTGGTCGGTTAAACCAACAAAAGGAACTACAATGGAGACTATAGGTACAACCTGAGCCCCGGATCTGACTCTGAGAATCATAGGAGGTGAAAAGGAGTTTTATGGGGGATCCCTAGGGTTCCTTCAAAGGGTTCTATAGGGCTTCCTTTAAAGGGATCTATAAGGGTATCATAGGAAGTGAAAATGGGTTTTAGCCTATGGGGGTTTAGTAGGTATTAGGGTTCCCATAGTAGGGTTCATATTCAGGAATCCCTACCCCAAGAATCATAAACCCACCTTTTGGCCTCCCATCAGAGAAGCCTCCACCACGAAAGGAAAGAGAGTTGAGCCCCAGATCAGGGTTTAGGGTTGCAGGGTGCAGGGTTTGGGGGGTACCTTTACCAAGAGAACCGTACCATTTTAGGGCTCCCCATTATGATTTCCTTTTATAAGTCCCTAAAAAAGTAGGCTACTTGGCATTGAGGTAGGGACTTCCTTTAATCATTCGAGAGGCTTTTGCGGCTTTGTGAGGGTTCCGCACGGTTCCGGCATGTTGCTATGCTAGGTCCCCAATACTACCAACACTGAATACAAAGAAGCAATGGTACCCTTGATTGTAGTGGGAACCAGGTTCCTGCATTACCGTAGACCCTAAACCCCTATAGATCCCTTATAGATCCCCTTAAGGATCCCTTATAGAGCCCTGTAGTGGATGAGCATGGAGCCCGAAAAAGCATCGGAGCGTGTAAATCTCATCCCTTAAATGCCAAGCATAAATGGGAGTTTCCGAAAACATGGAACCCTAATATAGTGCGTTAAATAGTAGGATCCTTACTATAAGGACCCCAAAACAAGGTACCCCCAATTTTCGGAAAGGAGGTTCCTTTGATTGCAACTGCTTTCCTTGAAGACTGCTGAAAAGCCGGGTGAAAAGTCAGCCTGAAGCCCATAAAGTTGAAAGCGAGACGCACGAGCCTACAGACCCAAGCTTCCGCCCTGAATCCGAAACTGTGTAACCCTGAACCCGAAAAACTGCCCTGAACCCTCATAGCCCCTAAACCTTCGGAGGAAAGCGGTTGGATACATGAACGCCCTGCGGGGCTTGGCACCACTCTGCGGCGAGCAGCAACTTCGCGGCGATCCTGTCCGGTTTAGGATTTAGGGCTCATGCACAGCTTCGGGTTTAAGGTTTAGAGTTCAGATTCTCGCGTCTGCAATCGCATTTGGATGTTGACATCTTCCAAGCGAGGGTCAACCGGCACAAGGGTGGGGCCGGAGCGTTTTCAGGTCACGGTCACGGGGAAAGTTGTCGCACTGGTTTGATCCACACAGTCGGGCCTGTCGACCCCGGCTTGGTGACAGTTGTCGCCGTGTTCCTGGCGGGGCGGGATGCTGATACCCCGCAGATTGCGAGTGGGTCGGGGGTTGGGCTGCATAGTATAGGGGCCGTAATCATTATCCATACTATTTCGGGGGTTCCGTATTACAGTTAATTATCGTATATGTATAATGGCCCCAAACCCTGATGCTTTCTTTCTCAAGAAATATCTTCGGGCTTCAGGACCCAAACCCCTAAGCCCGAAGCCATCCTAGGCCCACACAGCCCTAGACCCCAGGGCATGTCATTGCCATCGCATCTGAGGTGTGCATTAACCCGTCGCTTGTACGCTTGTACTGAGCATTACGCTTGGGCCCCGATGCTGTCTCTACGGCCCTTACCCAAAGGCCCCAAAGTAGTTCCTTTTTGGGTTCATATATAGAATCCTATAAGGTAATCCCAAAAAGGAACTACTATGGGGCCTCTGGGTAAAGACAGGGCCGGACATTAATCATTTACGCAAACACCCAGGCCCGGTAACCCAGGCCCATGCAGCCGAAGGGCTTTAACACTGAAAGCCGTAACTCGACTCTTATCTCTTACCTAGACCCCCCAAAGTAGGTAAAATAATGGCCCAAAGTCTCCAAAAGGCTATTTTTCTACATACTTTTGGGGTCCAGGTACCTATAGTCTCCCATGTAGTTCCTTTTCGGGGTTACCTTAATTGTAGGATCCTAATCATATTTTTTGGTAAAACCAGCAAAAGGAACTACAATGGAGACTATAGGTGAAGCTTGTGACCCTAAACCACTACACCCCCCAACTCCTAAATCCTATGACCCGAAGCCCCAATCGCCTGAACCCCAAAACACCAAGCGAATTAAACCGACAAATCCTACAGAACCATCCTAGACCTTCCATCTACCCTCCATTAGACCCGAATAATTTGGGACCAGGCTTGGCCAAAGGACCCCTTAAAGGAGCCCTTCGAGGACCTCAGAGTCAAGCCTGAAAAGCACCGAGGAAGGCTGGTCAGTCCGTCCGCCGGGACATGCAACCCGGTGAGTTTAGGGCTTACCTTAGCCCCTAAGAAACCACATTTTTAAGGACTTATATAAGGAAATCATAATAAGGAACCCTAAAAAGGTAGGTTATTCAGGGTTAAGGTAGGACTTGGCCTTTAGGGATTAGGGTTTTGGGTCTTGGAAGTTTAGAAGTTCACTATAAGCCCCTAAGTAAAGATCCAAGTGCCCGTATAGTACTGTACTTAAAGGCTCATGGGACTTAGTAAGTAAGGTTATAAGTAGGTTATAATTAGGATAACCCCACTTAGGGGACTTATAACCCCAATTATAACCTACTTACTAAGTCCCATGATCCTCTAAGTAGGGTTTTCGGTTTCAGAAACCACTCAGAGGATGGAGTTGGGGACCTAAAGCTCCACAATTTGCGCACTTGGAACCTCTCTTTGGGCAATATCCCATGTCTTGGGCTTCCGCACTGTAGATTTGGATTATGCAAGTCCGTAAGCTAGGCTGTTGATGGTTTACTGCCAAAAAAAAGCTTACATACAAACCACTATAGTGTTCCTTCCGGTTCCTCTTGTTATGCGTCTGGCAACTGGAATGTGCCCCCCCCTGTTCCCAAACCTTCCAAAATCCCTTCATTAAGGAATATACCTTAAATCATATTAGGGATCCTATTATAGTTTAAGGTATATTCCTTAATTAAGGGATTTTGGAAGGTCTGGGTTGAAACTGTGGAGGCCCTGATACTTAGTGGGCTTTAGCGCTTTGGTTGAGGGTTTGGTCACGGAACATCAGGGCTAATGCGGTCTTCTACCATTGGTGGGCTTTTTAAGAATTCATGAACAGTTTGGGGGCCTGAAAACTGCAACCCACCTTCTTTGCCCAGACCTTCCAAAATCCCTTGATTAAGGAATATACCTTAAATCATATTAGGGATCCTATATTTTAAGGTATATTCCTTCATTAAGGGATTTTGGAAGGTCTGGGTGGAGAATAGGAGCTAGGTGAACTTACGTTGAAGGTGAGAGTGCGATGCACTTGCGCAGTCCTCACAACCAAACTGAAAGCCTAAGCTTGCAAGCTGTCTCGAATGACCAATCCTGCGCAAACCTCCAACTCCTTCAATAGAGCCCGTGTAGATCGTAGAGATCCTCTCACATGTCCCCCTAGAAGCATCAGAATTAAAAGATGACTGCCACAGAACCAAGAATCTAAACCCCTAAAACCCTGTAAAGCCCTAAACACGAGAAAGCCTTTGCAGCTAAAGCCTAAACCCTAAGCCCGAAACCCTAAGCCCGTAACCCTGGGCCCCACACATCCCACAAACCCTAAGACGCCCGAAACCCAACAACAAAGAACAACAAAACCCTAAACCTAGGTAGGGCTTTGGGACATTTCATATTCCCCCTTATTGGGCTTAAGAGGATCTTATTCACCAATATTTTTCAAAGGTTTTAAAAACCCCACCTAGTAAACTCTTTGAAAAAGAGCCGAGCCCAAGGCTCGTCTTCCTGGGCGCTGCGGCCGTCGGCGCGCTCCTGCGAGTGGGAACTGGCCCCTGGGTGCAAGATTTTCTGCGGGATTCTTGGGTGTTCCTTAGGTACTGCCCGCCTCACAGCAAGAGTCGATAATAGGGCGACTATTGAGGTCCTAGTAGATCTATATTATGAATACCAATCAACTATTACTGAGTGGGGGCCGTACCCAAGGTGTTCCTGATTATTACCCCAAGGGTCCAAGTACTTAATATTCATATACTCTCCAAAATCCTAAGCTGCGTAACTACTATTCCAAAACCGAGTACCTACTTATTGGGTCGTTTTCACGAGGGCTGAGGGATGAGGGATGTTTAGGGATTAGGGATTAGGTGTACTATAATTGGCTTACAGCCCGTTGCAAAATAGCTCTAGAAGGGTTCTACAAAGGGTTTGTCTCGTACCAGGGTTCGATAATGAAAGAAAAAGGGCTGTGTACGATCTTGACGGTTTAGGTGTTCAAACTTTGGGTGCTGTGGGTCTGCTTGCCGAGTGGACTTGGGGCTTGTAGGGTTGAGGGCTTCGGGTTCGGAGGTCTAACTTTCATGAGAGTTTCCGAGAGTACCTTAAATAGTAGGATCCTCATTATAAGGATCCCCCAAAGAAGGAAACTGCCTCATGGAATTTAGCACTATGGAGGGTAAGTGGGGAGTCGAGGCAGTGTTAAGGGTGGGACTTCTAAACTGAGCACTCACCTTGCAGCTTTTGCTGGTCTTGAACACCGCCATTCCTGCACCATAGACATCTTCTCATGCTTCCTAAAACCTAGACTGTAAACCGTAAGCCCTAAACTCCTGAACCGTAAACATCTAGTGAACTTTTGCATCACGGCACAGGCATCAAGCTTCTGACCTTGGGAACGGGTCCGCGGCGACCTCAGTGCCAGCCAGGTGTTGTAGGACCGAAGTAGGTTTGGGGGTATATTACACTAAAACTGCTTTTTGCAGTAAAGACTGCGAGGGGATAGTACGATTAACTACTACCAACCCCTACATAGTGCGGTTTAGTACAGAGGTTGGATAGCTAGACTGTAATGTACCTCCGTGGGACACTTTACCTCAAAACCCATATCTCAGTGTAAAGGCCCCTGGTGAAGGCCCTCGCAAAATTTCGGCTTGCTCCGCCATCGTACGCAAACACCAATCAATCCGCATATGGCTCTGAAGGTGCGGGGTGCTGCGCCCATAAACCTTCAGCCTTATAAACACCCTAAGCACTAAACCCCGATTGGGGTTCGGGTATCCGGCCCCCTTGTTCGGTTTGACGCATTAAGGCTTCCAGTTCCCACATGGAGCTCTTCGGGGCTCCTTATGGGCAATACCAAAACGGGCATGGAGGTTCGGTATAGGGTGTGGGTTCTTTAAGGGCAATACTGAAGACTGATAGCGCAGAGTTCATCCTTGATGTGGGGGTTTCCGAAAATTAGGGGTACTTTATTTTGGGGTCGTTTCTAACAAGGGTCCTACAAGTTGGCGTACTATATTAGGGTCCCCTATTGTCGGAAACTCCCATGTCTTGGAGTCTTGGGCATGTCTCAGTTAATCCAGACAGGCCTCGGCGACAATCCCTACTTCTCGTGTCCGCAAGGTACCAATGCATTTGTGAGGCGTACCTACCGCGTTCTGCCCCCTTAGCTCTACCTGGACCCCACAATTGTATTCCCTAAAAGCTGCTATATTGTAAATATACATATTGGCTTTAGATACAGACATAGATATAGATATGGATATACTAGAATACACACCAAACCCTCGTCCAACAAGTAAGACCCCAAGAAGGAACCCGTCAAAAGAGCCGTGTTCTGATTGAACACGCAGGTTCCTCACGGAGATCTTCCGTCGGGAGGCCGTGGCCCATTGCTCTAAGATCCCACCAACACATAGCGTCGAGGGTTTGAATTCGGGGTTGAGGGTTGAATCTAGGCTTTGAATCTAGGGTTAAGGGTTGAATTGAGGGTTTGAATTTAGGGTTAATGGTTGAGTGGAGGGTGTGAATTTGAGGTGTAGGGTTCAAGAGTTTTCGGGGTTTTAGGAGTCAGGTGTAGGGTCTAAGAGTGTTTTAGGGCCAGAGGGTTTAGACCAATTCCGACAGGGCAGACTCCGGTACAAGTACGTGAGTCCACCGCATTGACTTGTGCATGCAGCAATGGATCGCAACTTTGACAAAAATGGGGTTCAGATTCAGCGCGGCTTTGGGTTTAGGGTTTACCTGAGGGTGTAGGGATTAGACAGAGGAAGCTTTCGTTATCCCAGACATGCTCTCATCCGCTTGCAGGGCCTTAGTGAGCACCATGTGTTGTCAGGTTCCTCCATCGGCAGCTGAACCCTCAACACTACAAACCCGGACAAGCCACTATGCAAGTCGGTCAGGGGCTTGTTTACGAGGTTAAATCAGAAATCCCCGGTACAAACACATGAAGCCTCCTGCGTATGCTGGATACTATACCCAAAGCGTCCAAAGTACCGATATAAGTAGAATGAATTGGGTTTCTATATTTGGAATTACTATTATTATGATTTAGGGAAGTATCCCCCAGAACACTACCTAGGTCCTAGGTACTGCTATGGGGGATACTTCCCTAAATCATAATAGGACCCTTTGGGATACCAACCCGGAGCCTAGCCGGACCCAGTCCTGGCTATATAATAGGGTTCTAGAATGAGGTCGCCTTCAAGGGTACTATATCCCGACCCCCTCAGCGAGTTGGGAAGTATGTTCACGAAAAGCAAAACCCCACCCCCCTAAACCCTCTAAACCCCCAAATTACGCTAAACCCCAAACCCTCTAAACCCCCATAAACCCCAAACCCCCCAAACACCCCAATACCCTAAACCCCCCAAACCCCTAAACCCCTAGGCCCCAAACCGTCCACCGACAGAGGCTCCTAGGATGCCCAGTAGTACCCTTATTCCCTTTTTGTAGTCCTAGGTTCCATATAAAGTTACCCAACACCAAAAAGAGAGGCCTTTTTATTCTTCGGTCACTGGGTATCCTAGATTGGTATTATTGGTATTGTGGCTACTGGCTAGCACCGACTCCACATCTAGGGCTTGGTCTAAGAAGTGAGGCTTCGAAGCTTCGGTTACTGGGTATCCTAGAGGCGCACCTGCAACATCCTGAGCTGGCGAAAGCCTCCGGGCTCCTCTTCCTGGCCGTTGCGACGCTTGCACAGAGGGTTTAGGGTTTAGGATTTAGGGTTTAGGATTTAGGGTTTAGGGATTAGGATTTAAAGTTTAGGGTTTAGGATTTAGGGTTTAGGGTTTAGGATTTAGGGCTTAGTGTTTAGGGTTTAGGGTTCAGAGTCCAGCATGCCGGGCTTTATGAATGAGGCGGGTGTATGTAGCGTTGCGCCTGCTTGAGGTAGAAGATTGCAGCTAATACCCTAGGGCTCTAAAGCAGTTCCTTTTCGGGTTTCATATTTAGAATCCTATAATTAAGGTAATCCCAAAAGGAACTACTAAGGAGCCTATGGGTAGATGTAAATATAGCAACACGAGCTACCTTTGCGGTGATGTCTCGCGAAGCCGCCATATTGCCGAGAACCCTGAACCCTGAACCTAACCCCCCAACACGCTCTATAATACCCCACTATCAGGGACCATGAGGCTCTATGAGAGGGCAGTTGGGGGGCCTGGTAAACCTTAAACTAGCCTTAAACCTTGCGCCATACCCCCGAAACTCAGCACCTCAGACCTGATCCCTGATTCGGATAGCTCTCGTCCCAGGAAGACATCCTACACAATCATGGCGCTGTCCATGCCGGTCCCTGCAGGTCTCCTGCAGCTTTGTGTAAAGGAGCCTACGGGCTTAGGGCACTCCGGAGCTATGTTGTTGTAGTGGTGCATCCGTGAAGACTTCCAGTCAAGTTTCCAGGAAACGGATGCCCCATATTTCTCGGGTAGTTTGATAACCTTCAATCTGGATAGAGGTGCACAAGTTTGGAAGAGGCTTGAGCCGTTTGTGGTGATGATCCAGCGCAGCTTTTTAGGGACACTGCAGACGCATCATTCATGGGGAATTGGGGAGGCAGCAACAACTGCTTCTTCTGGCTTTGAGTTTAAGGTTTAGAGTAGCTTCGCTCCGGATGAGATGGAAGTTCCAGTTTCATGGTTTGAACTCGTTTAGAGCTTCTGTAGACGAGTTACTGTAGAGGTTCAATTTTAGTGTTGCATGGTTTGTGGTCTCCATTGGTGATTGTCAGACACAAACATGCCATGCTGCACAGCTAGTTGATCTTTTGTCGCATTAGTCTACCCAGAGACTCCAAGACCCCTTAATCAAGGATTATACCTTAAATTATAGTACGATTCCTAATATGGTTTAGGGTATATTCCTTAATTAAGGGGTTTTGGAGTCTGTGGGTAGTCTTCTGTCGCGAGTAGCAGGGTGGCGCCGCTGTAGACGGCGACACGTAGTGCAACGATCATCTGGGTTCTGGTGAAGGGTTTTAATACTTAAGCTACTATAAGCAGGAAACCATATTATTACCTATAGATCCCCATTATGGTAGCTTAGATAAGGTTCCTTAGCAAGAACCCCGTCATGACCAGCATAGCCCTGGACTCGACACCACCACCTCATGTCCCAGCTCCCTTCCCCACCGTCTCTGTGATAAACCAAGGATACCATATCACCCCGAAAAAAACGCCCAAACTGCGGTGCCCCGATCGCAGACGGAGAGAATGACATGAGATACCGGAATCTCGACCCTGAAGCCCTCAAGCTCTAAATTCTACGCCCCGAGCCAAAACCCTACCTCAACCCCAAGTAACCGTCTTTTTGTAAGGATTTGTATAAGGAAATCATACATAATGAGGAGCCCTAAAACGGCAGGTTTCCCAGGGTCCAGGTAGCACCCGAATCCTGAGTCCAAAGCCTCCAATCCCGAAGTTTCAACTACCTATGCTCTCCATTGTAGTTACCTTTTTTGGTAAACCACTTTTATGGCTAGGATCCTATGAATTATATCTGGTTATCCGAAAAAAGGAAGTACAACGAAGACTATAGATAACCTCTAACCTCCAGACTCAAGATTTCAAAGGTCATGCCCGCAAAAAATGCGCAGGCGTTGTGGCTCCCTCCCTGATGCTGGGGGGAATCTTTGGCAGATGCGTGGCAGCTGCCATCCCGCCAAGCTTCCCGATGGCATCTCTTGGCTCACACAGGGGCCTAAATTTAATTACCAAGACTATCGTGGGGATTCCCTAAAAATATACGGTATAATTTACCAATACTACGGTGGGGATTCCCTAAAATAATTTTGGTATTATGTGCCAGTACTATTGTGGCGATTCCCTATTACAATTATGGTTTAACTTACCAATACTATTGTGATGGGATTCCGTGATATAATTATGGTATGGTTTACCAATACTATTGCGGGGATGCCGTATTATAATTATGGTATAGTTTACCAGTACTATAGTGGGGAATCCTGATTACAATTATGGTCTAATTTACCAATACTATAGTGGGGGTCCCTTCTATTGTTATGATTATAGCATAATTTTTACCGGAACCCCTATTCTAATTGTTACGGCCCCTACATTTATGGGCTAATGGACTCTGCTTTCGGAATGCAGGGGTTGCTTGTTTGGGCGTTTGAGGTGCAGGTTTGAGGCTTAGGGCGGGAGGTCTACTAGGACCCCCCAAGCAAGGGCCCTTTAATGGAGCCCTTGTGGTCCGTAATAGTGGGCATTTTGGGTAGATCAGAGGGTAGTTGGAGAGTCTAAGTAGGTTTTAGGGTTTGTGATTTAGGGTTCTGCAGCCCAGCTCTGGGTTAGTGGGCTCAGCGGTTAGGTTGGGGGAGTTTGCGGAGTTTGAACCGTGGGTTTTGCGGTTTACGGTTGTGGGGGGTCTTGTCTAAGAGTCTATAGGGTTTCGGGAGACCCCGACCGCACACAGCCGCCATTCCTGAACCCCAATTCCTGAAGGTCGAGGATGCGACCCTCTGTTAGACAAGCGTCTTGCGGACTCATCGAAGGAACCCCCCCAAAGAGAACCTCCTTATGAACCCTATAGTACTCCTTATAGAACCCTTTAGTACCCTTACAGGGGACCTTATTCTAGAACCCTATAGTACCCGTAAAGGGGACCTTAGAACCCTATAGTACCCGTAAAGGGGACCCCATTGTGTCGCCATTGTAGTAACCCTTAGAAGGAGCTGTTGCAGGTCTGGGTCTCAACACTTGGAGCCTCAACCCGAAACCCTAAACCCCCCCGCTGTTTTCGTTTTCCCTCTAAGATCCCAGACTAAGGTATGCAGGAGTTTCTCGCGCCTGACGGCGACTTTGGCCAGTACATTGCGAGGCCAGTTTGGTGTTTAGGGCCGAGAGCAAGTTTAGGCTACTCAGGTCCATGATGAATGTGTCGGGGTAGGGGCCTAGGGGTGGGCGTAGGTTACGGGTTTCGATTGTGAAGCGCTCTGCATGATTTTTACAAGGTTGCATTTGGGAATACGGGTTCTAGGGTTCCTCATAGTACTGTATACCCAAAGCGTTTGTACATCTTGGTTTCGGGGCTGAACGCAGAGAATCTTAGGGTTCGCATGTAGGATTTATAGGGCTCAAAGCCTGCAACGTTGAAGTATCAAGGTTTTTTGCTGCACTATCTTTTTGTTCATGAGTTGAGCTTTAGACAAATGAAGAGTATCAGTGGGCAAATCCTGTCCGTCACATCATCATGTGCCCCGGTTCGAGGTTTAGGGTTTAGGGCAGTGTTTTCCAAACCTAATGCCATACCCAGCGTAAAGGGTGCAAAGGTCGTGGACACCCCAGAAGGCTTAAAACAGTCTAAGAGCATCAGCGGCTGCCATAGGCTCTGGGAAGCTTTCCACCACAAGCCTGGTATAAGCCTGAACCCAGGGAAGCCCAAGCCCTGCAGCCTCCGCCCGTTCGAGCTGAAGCAAAACTTGTAAATCCAACATGCCTTTCCGAAACACCAGCAACCCTCATCATCACCCCAAGCCCCAAGCCGCGGGTCATGCAACAAGACACCTTTACTTGGTCAGGTTTGCGATCGTGGGCGCAACATGTTTTTGCGGCGCGGTTTGCCGGGTGTGGCCCTCAGTACAGTAACTCGCTCCTTTCACACCTAGCCTAACCCCCTACATAAGCCCTATAAGCCTATAAGCATACGTGCCACACGTGCAGTTTTTTTTTTTTTTTTTTTTTTGGGGGGGGGGGGTTCTGGCTTAACGTGCTTGCAGGGTTTGGGTAATTATACGTTTGAGAATGTGGATTGGCACCCACTAATAAATTCAACAACGAATTTGGATTGATAAAAGTTCTGATTAACCAGCTGACGGGCTGACTGCCTGCAACCTCTGAGCTGTCAAACTGTACTACGTCGAAGCATGAATAACTTCGCGGTGATGTTATGCGGGTTCTATGTTCTAGATGTGAGGCATATATCACTACTAGGTATGCAACCGCCTGTATTAAGCAAGCCCTGGAAACCCTAAATCCCCAAACCCTACACCCGGGCCGGCACTTTCGAACAGGTCAACTCGGTCGTCGTGACTGTCTTTGAGCTCATTGCTGTGCCGCGCTCCTCGGGTCTGTTTAGAGGCCTTACCTAGAGGGTCATACCCTGCCCCTTTTTTAGGGTACCTAACTTTATGGTTAGGATCTCCTATATAGAAAAGTAGGTACCTTGAAAAAGGGGTAGGGTATGTTCCTATAGGTACTCATTAGGCTATGATTTCTGCACGGTTATATGCGGCATCTAGAACAGTTGACAGGGAGCTGAGGGGTATACAAGAGGGCCTTGAGAATTAGCAACAGGGCTTTGGAGTATCTTCTAATGGAAAAAGATTGAGGACCCCTGAGGATTGGCAATTTTTCCAGCTTTGAATTCCGTGCCTCGGGTGGGGGATTCAGGTGCAGGGTGCATCTCCTCTCGTCATAGCATTGGGTCTTCAAAAAGGAACACATGTGGACGGGAAGGATTCCTTGGGAACGTCCGGTGTTTTCATGTTTTTGAGGTGTCGTTCTTGCAGTCCCTTCCGGCTGCTGCCAGTTGTTTCTGTTTCTTGAGTTTTTCAGTTGAGGCCTTGATTCCTCCCGAGATGAAACAGAGCTACAGCAGAGCAACACTCCCACGCCAGCCGTCTTCAAGCAAGCAACAGCTGCATGTATCAAGAGTACTCAAGACTTTCAAGTTTTAGTTTTGGAATGCCTGTAGATGGCTAGTTCTCGAATTTAGGGTCTTGCCCTGGCTGGGGAGCATCCCTGAAGGCTTGGAAAAGGGGTGGGGCTGTTTGAGCGGCTTGATCCTGGCTTGATGCCCGAAAGAGTATGTCACTCTTATCACACTATGACAGAAGCAAAGACTCAGACCTTCAGAACACTTCCGAAGAGAGATGTGAGATGCAACCGAAATGTCGAGTTAGTCTACTATAGGGGCCTTAATACTTAGATCATAGAGGAGTATCATATTATACTTATGATTATGATAAAGAGCCCCAAAAACAGTTTTGGTGGTTATTTAGGCCCTATACTAAGTACGCAGAGCAGAAGCTGCTTCCACTGGCGAGGTTTGATCCTGCCGCTGACCCATGGCGGCATCAATGCCACACTGTGCTGTGGTGCTTGTCTAGCTTCAATGATGACCCAAAGCAGACCCTAAGCCCCAAAGAGCTTGAAGTGTCCAAGCCCAAAATCCCCAAGCCCTCAACCCCTTAACCCCCAAACCCCTAAACCCTAATCCCATAAGCCCTTCGAAACCCTGAGCCGTAATTAAGACCCTAGGATGCCCAGTAGTACCCTTATTCCCTTTTTGTAGTCCTAGGTTCCTTATAAAGTTACCCAATACCAAAAAGAGAGGCCTTTTTATTCTTAGGTTACTGGGTATCCTAGCCCGGAACCCTCGGCCGGCAGAAGCCCGAGACAAAGTCGAAGTCCCAAAGTTTGAAGAGACCAGACGGCAGCAATCACGTCCTAAATCCTCAAGTGCTTTAAAGTTCTAGGAAGTAGAGCTGCGTATGTCAGGGTTTTCGTATTCGTACTTGTGGCTGACTATTACTGGGGTATGCATGGATTTCCACCTTTGTGGTTTATATGGGTGGTTGTCAAAATTAGGGTCCCTTTTGGGGTCGTTATTATAGTACGGCACTAATATTTAGGGTTCCCCAAAACGGACCATAATTTTGACAACTACCCATATACTCCTTGCTGTTCTGAGGTCAGAGCTGACCCGCATCCTAAGGGAGCTTAGACAAGACGCCTTGGGCCGCACCTTCACCCCAAAAAGGCCTACTTGGCTTTACAGACCTATAATGCAAGGAAGTCATAGTAACGGGCCCTAACAAGGTAGGATATTGAGGGTTCGGGTTGACCCGCATATTCAACCCCTATCTCGGCTTGTTTTTTGAAGTGTGCCACAACCCCTTGGCGAATTTAGCTTTTCGTGGCGCAAACGAAGTGTGCCTAAGCCCGTCCCTAACTACTATACAGCGACTGCGCACCCTAAATCCCTAACAGAGCCGAGGTTTTTAGCACGTCCTCTTGCTGGTAGTGGTCGTGGTGTTTCACATTGCCGTCACTACTTCTACTACCCCCGCCACCAGCACCGCTACTTCTACGAGTACTTCTACTACTTGAAAGAGTACCAGTACTAGTAGCGGTTAATGAGTGCAACCATAGCCGAGAGACATCCTAGGACACTTGCGACCATCGTGTCCAATGTGTGTGCCAATCGCCGCCCGTCTCAGCCGTTTGGTATTCGTTTCGTTTCGGACATAGAGAGTAGGCTTGGGATCGTTTAAGAGCTTAGAGTTTAGGTCCAGGTTTCAGGATGTAAGGCTCGTGGAATTGGGTTTGAGTGTTGGTGGGGGTTTGAGGAGTGTAGTTTAGCATTATAAAGTTTATTGTTGATATAATGTAGTATAGTAGTTTGTTGGCCCAAGTTCTGTTCGAGACGTGGCGCCCAAGAATCAGGGCCAAGTTTAGGGTTGTTGTGTGTGTGGGGGTGTTGAAAGAGCCTGAATGCTCTATGCTGGTGTAGGAACCTGATTAGCAAAATCCTTCCTCTCCATAGGGTTCTGAACTGAACATGAATCCTTTCTGGGAGATGGACGAGAGCCAGTTCTTTCCTGCCTACACAGGTCTCCGACGCAGTCATAGGCCCCAAACCCGAGGCCCAGCAGTCTTGTGGCATATAGGGTGTAGTAATCGCTGTCCAAGTTTACCCCACAAACCGAAATACGAAACCTACTGCGGCGACCCTGAATCTCCAAATCCTACACCCCTGAAACGCTCAAGCGCGAAGGGTCCTGAGTAGCTAAATGGGGTATACTTGCCCAAACCAGTTTGCCACTATCGAAACCCTACTTTCTACTACACAGGTACTTATAGGATCCCCCAAACCCTAAACCCCTACAACCCTAGCGGTTTTAAAGAAACCCCCTCAAGAAAAGCGCAAGCCCCAGCAACAAAGCTCTGCCGAGGGATCGGGCCTTCTATCTTCGATTCTATTCTCCTCATGAAGAAGATCCCGGCAGCGCTTCGGGGGTGTGGCGTTTCGGGTTTCGGGTCTGCCTATAGTCTGCATTGTAGCTCCCCTCTTTTGGGTAACCACAGGATCCCAACCATAACATGGGTTAACGGTTAACCCCAAAACGGAACTAGAATGGAGAGTATAGGAAATTTGGGCTTGGTGGGAGGTAGGCTTTGGGGTTACAGTAGAAGCCAGAAAGTTGGAACGTCATTATCCTCATGCCCTTGAGGTAAAGGATAAGGGGATCCTAGCAACAATCCTCCTCAAGCCATGTTCCAACTTTCTGGCTTCTACTGCAAGGGTTTACCCAAAGGTCCCAAAGTAGTTCCTTTTTGGGGATCATCTATAGAATCCCAGAAGGGAATCCCCAAAAAGGAACTACTTTGGGACCTCTGGGTAGACTTCCGTTGGTGGCGGGGGGGCAGTTCAGGATCATCGATTTCGGGCTCTGGGGCTTTGCGCTCAAGGTTTGGGGTTGAGGCGGCAAGGAAGGGGCCTTAGTAACTAGAAGTGGGTTTCTTTAGGCATTCCATGTTTTTGAAAGGGACCCCAGCTGTTGAGGGCTCTACCAGTATTTTGAGGATCAGGGGGTTTTGGTATGTAGGGTTGCACGTATAAGCTAAGCGTATTCATATGTACTCATGGCCCCCGGTTGCTTTCGATAGTGCTCTGCAGTATCCCCATAATGAACCTATAATCGAAGGGGTGGAAGCCTTTTTCGACTCTACATGCCAAACCTGGATCATCGGTCCTGGTGTGCTACTGTTAGCATATAGGGGTTACGTAGGGTTTATAGGATCTACATTGGGGCTTAGGGTTTGATCGTGTGTACCTTTAGCCCAAAACGATGGTTCTAGGATGTTCTACGGCCCACTCTAGGGTTTTATCAGAGTTTTGCGGGCTTTAGGCGTCGGCTTTGTATAGGTCTTCAAGCT